TTTTCCACCGCCTAAAGTTCTTCAAGGACTCACAGGATGCAAGACTCTAGCTTTTGGCTCCAGAGCCCACTGGCCTCCCTCCTGCCCTGCTGGTCCCTCAACGCGACCTGAGTGCGTGTTCTCGTGTGTTCCTGGCTGATGCGTTTCTCTGCTTCAGCTTGTGCAGCTACCTCTGCCCAGGACAACCCCCTCTTAACTATCCACCAAATGCATATTCATCCTGCAAGTCACAGTAGGGCCTTGGTACATTTGAGGTCCTTTCCCTGCTTGTCTGCCATGAATTTGGGGGAGCCTTTTCTAGGATCCCGTTGGAGCCTAGAAACGACCCCACTGTGCAGTGGCCACTATCCTGAATTGCTCCCCTAACTAGATTCTGAGCTCCATCTTTGTGATCAAGACCTCCAAACACCAGCATGGGGCCTATTTGGGAACATGAGTGAAAATTAATAATCAATTATTTAAAAAGTGGCAGGCTTATATGTATTCTTTGAATTGAGCTAAATTAAAATGAAAGATAATCTGGTTTTTCTTTACACACTATCCGATACTTGCCTGCCCTAGAGTTAGTTTGCTGACATATTTTTTTTTTTTTTTTTGGCTGGGGCTGGGTTTGAACCCACCACCTGTGGCATATATGGCCAGCGCCCTACCCTTTTGAGCCACAGGAGCTGCCCTGCTGACATATTTCTGTTCACTCACTGCCCTAGGAGATCTTCCCAAGATCTAGTTCCAGCTAGAAGACTCTGAGAGTGCACATTTATTTCACAGGCTCCACACTCGAGTTAAAGTCTTTCTCCATCTTTATCATTGCCCCACAGGAAGCCCTTGCCTGCCATGTTGAACTCTTTCCCAATACACCTGCTGTTTCATGTCTCTGGGCCTTTGCACGGGCAAATCCTTATCTTTGCAAAGACTTTCTAAAACTCATCTCTCTGATAAACTCCTGTTATCTTCAAACAAGCTAGTGTATCAGAAGTCTTCTCTAGAAAAGCTGAGATGTGATGTCAAGAGTAAAACTTAGCACATACTGTGTACTCAAGACAAGCCTGTGAGATTTCAGAATTCACCTGCATCTCCACACCATTCTTACTGACCAATCAAAGCATCAGATTTCTTCTTTGAAGTAGACTTTGAATGGGTGCATATACACATATGTGAATATGAGATATGAGGCCAAGGGACTAGGTCTCCCGACAAGTCTGGCCTCAAAAGTCTTTCTTCGCCAATTCATTCCAGAAACTCAACCAAGTAACCTTACCTGACCTTGAGAAGGGCCCAAGAGGTATGGGTTCAGATCCTAGCTCAGTCATTTTAATCTCAGTCTCCTTATTTGAAAATAAGCAAAGTTCCGTTGCTTTGCATCAGGCCCATAGAACCAATCTAGAAAGGCAGCTGGGGGGTAGTGTGACCTGTAGCCTGGCTGTGTGGTGACAACTACTATCTATCCCCTCCTCAGACCCAAGACCATGTTATGACTGGTTTCTACAAATTAACTAATTTGTAGATGTTAGATATTAAGTAAATATTTCCTTTTCTCCTTGAGTAGAACATGCCCAAAGTTGAGTATTTACACATGCACAGTGACACATGCACATCAGAATCTCCCATGGACATATTAATACTGTGAAGGGTGAACGATGCCCTCTCTCTGATTCACATCAAAGGAACATGCCCAGACTCTTGATGCCAATTTGGGGACTCCAAGCACAGACAGGATGTCATCTCTGACATCTCTCCTGCCTTTAAATCACTCCTGTTAAAGACACATTTAAAAGTACCGTGGTCTCTCTGCCCTTGGAAATATCTCCTCAGATGTACAGACTGGGAAGCTGAGGAAGGAGGTGTTCAATACTCTCATCTTTTTATTTCTGTTGTAGGTAATTCCAGTCCCAGTAATCAAATACTTTGCAAAAACAGAGTGAAAGTATTGTAAATTCACCCAGAGATGAGTATGCTTTGGTATATGTCTTCAGCAGCAAGTATTTCTCATCAAAGAACTCTTTATCTATAAATTTAATAATAATTTTTTGGTGATTGTGATGATTCACGGCTGGTAAGGATGCAACTAGCAACAACAGTTTGAGACTAGTTTGGTGATATAAATCTAGAGTCTTAAGATAGAAATTTCTCAAACTCAGTAATTCCACTCGGGAGGATCTGCCCCCAGAAAAGAATCTGGATTTGAAGGCGTTTTCAGTACCAAGATAGTCACTGTGATATTTTTAGTGAGAAGACTCATAAATAATCAAATGCCTAAGGACAGAGGAAGGGGCCGGTGAACTGGAGGAACAACTCCTGTTACCAGCCCTCCGTCCTTGCCTGTTTGTTCTCACCAGGTTGTGAGCAACCCGAGAGTAGGGACAGAGAAGATTGAATGAATGAATGAATGAATACATACCCAGGCATGAGCGCATGGCTTAGAAAGACGTGCAACAGTTTGGAAATACACACACGATGCAGAATTAAGCAACCAGAAAGTGCCACATTATGAATAGGAGATAATTATAATTATGTCAGACCATACCGAAAGACTAAAAAAGAGTGGAAGAAAATGAACAAAGGAATTAACTGACGTGGAGTAACTTCGAAATAGCTACGTGATTTTTCTTTTTGTATTTCTGCATAGGTTGAATTTTCTGTAACTTAACAAATACTATAAATACAGGATCTATCTCGTGAAGCTTGTGCCAAGACTAAATGCTTTGCGTGGTGCTGAAAACAAAATGTTTTCATTAAACATTCAGAGGTTTTGAAATGTATTATATTATTGTCTTTTAATTAAATACTACCATTTATATTCTCTTCATCCACCAAGCCCTGCAAAATGGAGTAAAGGGATAAAAATGTCCATACCACAAAGATAATTAAAAAAAAAAGAAAAAGAAAACAGAATGAGACTTGAGCGAACGTGCAGATGAGGAAGAGGAGATGGAGGCCTGTTAAGTGACCGGCGGCGAGGCAAAAGCAATGCACAGAGTCCACGGAGGGCTGCCAGCACGGCCCACATCCTGCAGACGTGGGACGCCCCAAAATGCAAGGTGCCTGGCAAGGAGGGGTGCCATGTGGGCTGACCACAGGAGGCAGCTGAAAACCTGGGCACAGAGGTTGGCAGTGCTAACAGGAAGCTGCTGGGGCTTCTTGTGGCCCATCTGTACATGGGCCACATAATAATCAAATACATACTCCTTGTTTCAACCCTAAATCTTGATTTTACCATATTTTAAGGATGAAGGAGAAAAACTGAAAAGGGGAATAATAAAAGAGAGCTAAGTGTTCCACTGTCAAGGCAAGAACTTAAGAGTTGCTTCTAAGATCAACAAATCAAGAAGAGCTGTATGTATGTGCACACCCATGTATATATACATACCCATGTATATATACATACACATGCAGCTGCCCTTGGACTCCAGCACCCACCCATCCATGGACACTAAAATCCATGGACGTGCAAGTCCCTATATGCTTGCATATAACCTACACACCACCTCCCACATACCTTGATCATCTCTGATTGTTTAGAAACGCCTGATACAATGCCCACACCGTGCTTCATTTACACAATTCAACATAGTAGTTAGTGGCAAATTCAAGTTTTGCCTTTTGGAACGTTGAGGAATTCTTTTTCTGAGTCTTTTTGATTTATGGCTGGTTGAATCCACAGGTGTGAATGAAAGCCACAGATTTAAAAGGCTGACTGTAATTCAGCAACATGGAGGCCAACATGAGAAAAAAATAACTAAAAAAGTTGAGAGTGGTGGCAGGTGGGTAGAGGTGAGACAGAGAACTAGTAGCTTTTATTTTCTGTTTTTTAAACTGTAAATTGGGGGGGGAGGTTATTTCAACTGTGTTTGTATACTATCTTGATAAAATTCAAAATCAATTTTGACTAAAGTCTGGCTGGGTTATTATTATCTGTTTGGTTTTGTGTGTCCTAATTTCTAAGGCCCACCTCTGCCTTCTGCATCATGGCAATGACACCACCAGGCACACAATACCTGAGGAAGTTAATAACACCTGATCATATATATAAAGTGCCTGGTGCAGACATTTTCCATAGAATGCTCAAAAAATTACATATGTCTATGTATGTACATGTATATGTACAAACAGTCTCCAAAGTTTGCTACTTAATTGAGTCAAGGAAACTGATAATGTGGGTTGAAGACATTTTAATACTTTTAGCCACAGCCTTGGCTTTAAATAATTCCTTCCTACATGAGCTGTATTCTGGCTCTTCAGCCAGAGCTGTAATGACAGATGTCTAGGGCCCCTCAGACATCATGTCACAGGACAGGAATTAGCATGGCCTGGCTTCTTGGCTGGCAATGTCTGGAGCCCAGGACAAGCAGAAGAGGGGACGCCTCAGTGAGACCCACGCTGCCCTGAAGCCCTCCTGCCTCACACCCTCCAGGTCACCCAGACGTCCCCACTGTGCCCAGTCTCCCTCCACTTCCTGCCACCTCATGTGGTGAGCTCTGTGTGACCTACAGGAGGAAGTGCAGCCTCCGTCCTGACTCCTGGGCTCCTGCCCCCACCCCCAGCTGTGCTGCCTCCTTAAATGTCACAGTGTGTACAGTAACTGTGGTCCCAACTCTTGCACCCATGAAGAGCTGATATCTTCACTTTGGGGGCACAAATGCTACCATTCTTGATGTTGCTCCAGGACTGTACACATTTAGCCATTACTGAATAGGGCGAAACAGTCCTTAGAAGGAAAATTGAGATAACTGGGTCATAAGGCCACTTTACCTCCCGTCAGCTGCATTATTTGAGCAAATCGTTTAATTTACATGAGTCAGTTTCCTCAACTGTAAAGTGGGCTCATTGCGGGTAATTTGCCCTAAGCATGCTTGTGTACAATCCGTAAGAGCTGGAGTTAAGGAATGTGAGTGCTGCGAAAGCTATAAAGTACTAGACAAAAGCAAGAGGGAAGAGAAGGAGGAGCGAGCAGACGATGAGGTGGTACGCCCAGGAGAGAGATTAAAAGGCAATGAACTTACCTTTCTCTGTGAGGGAAGGCAGAGCAACCGAAGGGCAAAAGCTGGGAGCAGGATTTTGAGTGACTGAAAGGAAGAAAAAGGCAGCTTTTTAGTTCTTTTCTAGCCCTCAGTATCATTGAGTTCTGAAGGCACTAACAGAGGTACAAGATGGCGATCGTGACTTGGGACCTGGAAGGCAGACAGCCTGAGCCACCCTGTATCAGTCGGGGTGGGCTGGCTACGCTGAGTAACAACCCCAGCACCACAGTGGCTGCAAACTGTAAAGACCCCCCTCCCTCTCGCTGCACGCCCACTGTAGACATCCTGGGGTTCTGTTCTAAATCTGTCTCCCTCAAGGTCCAGGCTGAGCAAGGCTTCTTCTTGCCCCAGGCTTCAACAACTCCAGAGCAGGGCAAAGTGAATGCGGCAAAATTCAACCATGTCCATTCAGTTCTGCCTTGAAGTGACACACATCACTTCCGCTCCCATGACATTGAACAAAACTAGGAGTGAGGTCAGGGGTAAGGAAGTGCCAGAAACATGTGGCAAACAACGCAAATGCCTGCTGCCAGCACTTACAGATTCTGTGAACTTGAACAAGACCCTTAACTATTCTGGGCCTCCACATCCATACAAGGGATGGTTACTACCTTTCTCAAGAATTACTGTGAGATCGTAGAATGTATTGCACTTGTCACCATGCCAGACATACGGCACAAGCTCAAGAAACATCACCTACTACCAGCAGGCGGCATGGCTCAGTGGCCAGCCTGGACTGGTAGGCAGACAGACCTGGATTTGAACCTGGATAGACCACTTGGAAGCAGTGTGCAGGGACAAGTTATTGAATTTCTTCTACCCTCAGTTTCCGCATTGGCAAAATGAGGATAAGGTAAAAATTAAACGAGAAACCATTCATAACCAGGATGTGATACGTCTGTGCAAATTGTTCTCTTCTCATTCCTCTTCCTCTTCTGAACAAATCTAAGTCTTCAAAGCCTCATCATTCTTTTCTTTTCCAATGGCCCAAGCTGGAACTGTGCACAGGATGTCCCCCCTCACTGAGAGCCGCAGTCCAGTGGGGGCTGTGGGGTCAGCGGCCTAGGGCAAGATTGGTTTGGCCACTTCGCTGCTGTGTGATCTTGAGCAGATTACTAAACCTCTCTGACCTCAGCTTCCTGTCTATAAAGTGTAGGGTTGCGAGGTTTAGATGAATGGATACATGTGCGCTTTTGGCGAGCAGGAAGTGCTCAACTGGCCCATCATCCACTCTCACCACTGCTTTCACACAGGCAGACGATCACATGTGTCTTGGCACTGTGTGTCCACGAAAAGCCTTGGGTCTGAGTCCTGCTCTATTCCAGTCCCCTCACATCCACATCCTCCTCCTCCCCCACCATCTTCACTGTGCTTGGGGACACCAGAATCCAGCCTTTCTGGGTCCCAAGCCATCAGCAGGGTGGCGTCTTCACCTGCTGGCAAGCATCTGCGACCATGGTGCTCTGCTAAGGCACTAACTGGTCCTCAAGCTCTGGCGGACGTTGAAATCACCCGGAGGGCGTAACAGCCCATGCCCCGCTGGGGCTGGGATGGGCCTGAGGCTGGGCATTTCTATCCAGCTCCCCAGAGATGCTGATGCTGCCCAGCTCAGGCCTCTGTCATCCCACATTCGCGAGCTCCTTGCATAACATTCCTCATGACTGGTAACTACCCCCATGCTCCACTACCCTCAGCTGGCCAGCCTGTCTGTCCTTCCTGGAAGAGATGCTTGGAACAAGGCTCCTGAGAGTAAAATCTTCAGAGAACAGTTTGTCTCACTACATCAAGGACATTCAAATGTCCTTGCCCCTGAACATAGTAAAGCATCTTCTGGAGATTTACTTTGAAATTCAAAGCAAGCTTTTTCGCAAAGGAATCATTTTCCAATCCTCCCAGAAATCTGGAAACTGTATCCATGTCTGACTTTCTGGAACTGGCCAAATGGGCTCTAGTGTACCCCAGTGGGGTAACAATGTGATGGTCTCTCTGCCACAGAGCACTGGTCATGGAGTGCTGCTGCTGAGGCTTCCCTGGCTTTTTCTCATCCACTATTCCTGAGAAAAAGTGATACATGTCACTAGCCAGTCAGTGGGGCCTTTGTCACTGTACAGGACCAAGCTGAACCCTGAGGATTCCCAGCTTCTGGGCCCCTGGGGCACTGGAAACCTCCACACCCTCAGTCTCTAGAAGGATTAAAAACACCCCTGGAAACCCTCCTATTGCCAATCTTACTGTGCAGCCTCAGGGAGCTGCTCAGTTAGACTGTTAAGGGGGGCGCATGGCCCTGCCCAGCCCTGCTTTCAGCAGTGCCAGGTTTGGTAGATTGTAATCCACCATCATGGGAATATTCACACCACGGAATATGGCAAACACTTGTGATATCTAATACAGTGAAAAATAGACATTTAGTCATCCTCCCAGTTCCTGCACAGAACTCTGAATCCCTTGAGTGATAGGAGTGATAGAAACATTTTTGATAATATTTTATCTTAGTCATTGGTTTTTATCACTAGAGCTACCAAGACCCTTGGGATTCCTGCAGTGAAAAATAATTCTCTTTGTGTGCAAATGAGATGTCTGGTGGGAGGGCTAGATAGCTTCAAAATAGGGGTTACTTGCCACAAAGACCAAGGCATGACAAGAGAGTTGGAACTTTTAGCCCTGTCCCCAACCTGCAGGGAGGGGAGAAGGGCTAGAGATTAAGCTCCTGTGCCAATGGCCAGTGACTTAGTCACTACACAGAAGTAACAGAACCTCCATAAACCCCCTCAGGGAAAGTTTCTGAGTTGGTGAACTTGTAGAGGTGCTGGAAGAGTGGTGCTCCCAGAGCAGGCAGGAAGCTCGGTCCCCAGCCCCCAGCACTGCACTGCCCTTCCACTTGGCTCTTCCTGACTTACATCCCTTATAACTAAGCAATGGTAACTGTTTCCCTGAGTCCCGTGAGCTGCTCTAATGAATTATCAAGCCCAAGGTGGGAATCATGGGAACCCCCAATTAACTTACAGCCAGTTGGTGAGAAGCACAGGAGGCCAGGACTTGTGATTTGCATTTGAAGTGGGGGGCAGTCTCATGGGACTGAGCCCTTAACCTGTGGGGTCTGACTCCAATCCAGGTATTAGTGTTAGAATGAATTGAACTGAATCACTGGACACCAAGTCGATGTCCAGGGAGTTGGAGAATTGGTGGGTATGGGGAGAATAAACCCACACATTTGTTGTCAGAAGTAAAAGGTAGCTCGCGTCCCTACTTTCTCCAGGTGTAAAATATTTGCAGCAAGCACTGAGTGAGGGGAACAATAGGCCCCACCTTATCAAATTGTTAGGGGATTAAATGAAGTATTGCAGGGAACACTGCTTGCCTCCTGCTGGGAGCAGACTGCCTAGGGGAAGGTAGAGGCTGTCGGTAGGATGCGAATGGTGTTGAAGAACGGACTGTGCAGTGAACCACCACCTACAAGTAGGAGTTGCTATGTGGGTTTCAGAGAGGCATAATTAGAACAACCTGTCATTTCCCTTCTAGGCTCTGTTGCTGTGTCTAGAACTGCAATGAGGTCTGAATGCGTTTACTCAGCAGAAGGGAGGAACTGTGAGGTTTGTTATTTTAGAAGTCACTTTTGACTTTGTAAACAAACCAAGAACCCTGCCCCACAACTGTGGGCAGGATGGGCCTAGTTTAGTTCTCTCTGAAGAACAGCAGGTACCAATGCCCCAGAGGCCTTCCCCTTCCAGGAAGCCCTGGGCTGTGGGGCACTGTTTGATAGCAGCCCGCTTGGTACCCCCACACTTCCATTCTTGTCCTCTGAAGGCTGAGAGTGTTTCCTGTTGCCAGGAAGGGGTTCACACAGCCTGATTTGCATTCACCACTGCTCAGCCTGAGCCTCTGAGGCTCTGTGCTAAGACACCAGGACCTTTCTGCTCTCTTGAGGATAGCAAAGTCAGAAGGCCCGTGGCTGCTGGCTCTTTGGACTCCACTCTTGGTGCGCCTGCTCTGAGTGTGTGCCTTGCTCTTCCCAGAGGCTGACTGAGCTTTGTCCTTTGTTCTGTGAACACACTCAGTAAGAAGGGTACATTGCAATCGCCCATGCTCAGGTCTCTCCCTCTGAGGCTGTGAGGGTATCAGAGCAGGAGCCTGCCCAGCTCGCCCCCAACTGCTGCCTATGGTGAGGTACAGGCCACTGCTCCCATACCCAGCTCCCCGGCCTCTAGGTCCAGATTTCCCCTGAGTCACTTTTGCAGAGTTTCCTGTTCTCTTTTCATACTCTGAAGCAGCCCACCCCGGGATCCTACCCCAGTAACACAAGCCATGCTGCTAAGTGATACTCTGATTACAGAGAGAGGGATAACCTCCTCGGGATGAGAGGAATCGCACCCTCCTCAGGAGGGAGTGAGCAAATCCACACAGGGACAGTGCTTTGGAGCTGCGGGTGACACACAGTGAGTGCCTAAGAGAGGTTCACCTTCTCCCACGTCTGCTGTCTTAGCCAGCCCATCAGCCCTTCTCAGGCAGGGACTTCGACCCCACCTGCCTTATAAATACCAGTTCCTGATCCTCTCAGAATCAGGGGCAGTTCCTCAGAACAGGGGAGCTAGGGTTAATGGGATCGTGCTAATCACTCAATTCAGACAATGCTACACTAAATGAGCAAACCATAGGTATGAGGCAAGGCCCAAGTGTACCTTTAAAACCCTCCATCAGAATCTCTTTGTAAAAATGTGTAAATTAAAAATAAAATCCTAAGCCCCCCTCCAGTTGACTGAACAGACCCCTCTTGCCAAGACCCTAGAAAAACCTTAAGTTCCCAGATAGGAAGAGAGGGGAGGCGAGATGTACATCCTCATACCCGCTCCCTCTTGGAGCTTGGACACACTGACCAGCATCAGTGTTAAAGGAGAGCTCGTGAGACTGACAGAACAGACCCTTTGTAACAATAAGATCAGGTGTCTTCAAACTATGGTCTGCGGGCCACATGCAGCCGGCCTAGAACATTTATCCAGCCCACTGGGTGTTTTTGCTCCCACTGCCTATCCTGCTTAGCAGCTGACTCATCCGAGGGCCTGCAGCCTGGCCCTCCAATGGTCTGAGGGACAGTGAATTGGCCCCCTGTTTAAAAAGTTTGAGAACTCCTGAATAAGATACTAAATTATTACCAAGACCTCGGGCCAGGCAAGGCCACAGCTAAAGCACATCTGCAGGTCATCAGTTTGCTTAACAGAGCTCTTGAGTGGGTATGTTGTATCGTGTCTAGGATTAGCAGACTCAAGTTAAAAACATTTCAATCTTTTAGATAGAACTTAGTTTTTTGTTTGTTTGTTTGTTTTTTAACGAATACAATCAAAGCATCTCTGAACCTACCTACAGCCTGTGAGCCCAGGCTTCAAGAGGTCTCAGCTTTTCAGGCCAAACCAATATACACCTTCTATGTATTGACTTATAATTTTTACCTGAAATTCTGTCTATACTGTAAAAATCCCAACAATAACCTGACTACCAGGGGACCACTTGCTCAAGGCTTCTTGGACTTAGGGGCTCTCGTACTATGCTTACACATTGGCTCAGAATAAACCCCATGAAATTATTTTACAGAGGTATTTTTTTTACCCATTTGCAAATGCACGTCTCCTGCCTCAGGTGGAGGTGGTCATCTTGTAAGCAAGGCCAGACCCAGCAGCTGTTCCTCCTCCCTAGACCATAGCGGTTGTTTCCTACCCGTACACGTGTGATTTTCTAACACAAAGACAAGAGTGCGGAAAAGTAAAGACACTGTCCGCATCAGTGATGGAGTTTTGCACTCGTATACTGGTGTGGTTTTGTCTACTAGAGAACAGACTCCAAGACCATACTCGGCTAGGACGTTTGGCTCAAAATATGCCATGAATCAAAAGATTTTGTATAATTTTGTACCAGCCAATATGACCCAACTGAATAAAACTGCCCCGTTTATTAGCTCAGTCTCCTGAAGTTAAGATTCCTTTTCTCTGCCTCGGTCTTAGGGGGAGAGATAATCCAGACGGTCTTAAGACTTTCTCCTTTGCCCAATACTGATGAAGACCACTTTGTGGAGAGTCACGTCACTTCATGTTGTCTCTACCCCCTGACAGCCAAACTCCCTCCTCCAGCTCTGACAGGGGAACCACACTCCAGAGTACCTGCCTGGGGGCACCCATGGAGGAGTGAGGGACTGAGGCAGCTGCAGTTTTCTCTCTCCCCACAGTACCCCACTCTGAAAGCAGGTGAAATCAGTGTGAGGATGGCCTGCTGAGGTAAGTCTGCATCTACGGGGGGGGAGACCACAGGAGCAAGGCCTTGATGTCAAAAAGAGGACCCAGAGGAGCCCCCAGTAACAGACCCCCACATCCCTTCTGTGGTTCAGTGTTTGTCCCCTCCAAAATGTATGTGGAGATCAAATCGCCATTGCACCAGTGTTACTGGGGAGAGCTTTAAGAGGTGGTTAGGCTATGAGGCTCTGCCCTCCTGGTGGGAGTGCTGTGGTTATAAAGGATGAGTTCAGCTCCTTTCTCTGTCTTTGCCCTTCCACCTTTCTCCAGGGGATGAGGAAGCAAAAAGGCCCTTGCCAGATGTTGGCATCTTGATACTGGACTTGCCAGCCTCAAGAACGGTGAGCCAATAAATCTATGTTTACTGTGAATCACTTAGCCTGCGGCATTGTTACGGCAGCCCCAAATAAAGCAAGACACCTCCAGGGAGAATCACTTTCTCTCTCCTGTGTCCCCATGGCACTTTATTGACCAGACTGTCCTAGTACTTCATCTTTTCTGCTGTATGGAATCACGTGTGCTCATGCTGTCCTCGGTAGGCTGTGAGGAAAACAACTCTAGCTCATAACCCCACTTTCCCAGTGCTCTGCACGGTGTGTGGCCCAAAAGGGATGCCCAGTAAAACTTCCTGTGAGGAGAAAGACCAAGCATGAGAAGAGTTTATTTCTTTACAGTCTATTCATCCTCCTTAGACTGGGTAACCGTGGGCAGGTGATTTTACCTCCCTGAGCCTCTATTTCCTCATCTGACATGGATGTGAGGATTCAATAAGATGATGCTTACAAAGTGCTTGGCAGCCAGCCAGGCACACAGTAAAAGCCATACAGGGAGGCTGGATTCCTAAGACCAGAGTGCCCAGGCGTGTCTGATGCTCAGGCCACATCTGTCGAGTGAGAGCCCCTCTGGGAATGTTTAATTCCCTGTTCTGCTGTTCCTGGTCAAAACTCCTGAGTCCCCAGACTGACCTCACAGAACAGATGTCGGAGAAAGTCTGTGGTCTGTGGAATCAGATGAAGAGAAACAGAACAGTGGAAGCAAGTTGGGACAGTGAGTACCTCGGGTTCTTTTCCTTGCCAATCCCTGTCAAAATGTCGTAACACTTTGGTCTGATTCCCATAATAGTTTGAACAAATAAATTACTCTCTAAGCTTCTTTTTACCCACTCTTCCATGAATAGTATGAAGATGGAAAATGACATTTTGCAGACTTTGGCAAAGGGACAAGGTGACGAGACAGATGGGGCAAGGATGCCCTGAGAGGTGAGAGTTCAGTCCTGAAACCCTGCAAACACCCAAGGCTCACATCAGGTCTCCTTCAGGCCAGAGTCCTAAGCAGGCATGTTCTCCCTGCCCCTGTGAGTTAAAGAAGGGAAACTCATATATATGGAAAATTCTTTCCGAAATAGAAACCTAATTGAGGATATTTCATTATACAACCCTGATGTTTTTCCAAAAATAATTTAAGATGTTAAAATAAAATAAAAATTCAACAGAGTAATCTCAGATCAAATCACAGGGTGCTGAAGGTGGACATGAACAGAAAGATTCCATTCAGCCTGGTAATAATCAACAACTGTGAAGCAGACAATCAGGGAGTAATGAATGCACACGGGCCCCGTAGGCTCGGGAGCGGGAGCCGAGAGCCGGATTCTGCCTGGGAGCCCCATCTGTACCTTTCAGGTTAGACCTGGCTCCGGAGCAAGAGGCCAAACCACCAACTGGTTTGGTTTGTTAATTCATTAGTTTTTTTCTGTCCAACTTATTAGCCAATTTCTTGTTAGTTAATTGAGTTGAGGGGAAAATTGGTCATTCAAGGCATTTAGATATTTTCATATCCAGTTACTTATGGGATATTGAAGACCTGCCAGGAGGCAACATTGTAAAAGGGAAGAATGTAAGTTTGGCATCACCTGATCCAGGCTTGCAACATGACTCTTCTTCTCACTAGCCACACCCTGCTCATCTTAAGGTAGAAGGAATACTACCTACTCCATGCAGGTATCATGAGTATCAAATGATATGACCCATCCACGTTGTGTGTCTGGCATATAGTGGGCATGTGAAGAGTCTCTGTTCTCTTTGCCTACCTTGGGCAAAATATTTTATTGGGTCAAGGTTCCTTCCATTATAGACACTGTATGGCTCTAATTTCCTGAGAAAGTACCGAGCAAGGCCAGCACCCTTCCTGTGTTTACCCCCAAACTAAGGAGGAAGCCACTAGTCGGAGAGGTTGGAAACACGGAAGTTCAGCTCAGCGTCTGCATTTGACTCCTAAGCTAACAGGGCTTTTGATCTTTTGGAACTTGGGATACCCTTGTGATTTTGCTTCTGGGACACGGAGAGGATGTCTAATTTCCATAGTACTGCCATGCCAGAGACACCCAAGAAGTAAGAGGTGACAGGACCACAGTGAGTCTCACTAACTTATTTGACTAAGGGAACGACTAGGTAAGTGGTATGGAGTTCCTAAGGACAGACCCGTAGATGACAGAGTTGGGAATACACTAATGTCTACTCATCTGAGTCTAGTAGCTTCTCCGTCATACCATGAAGGCCATTCACTCATTCCTTCACTGATTTTGAGTTGAGCTTCTAAAATGTGCCAGGATATAATCCCCATGCATACTTTAAGGACCCATGTTGGGGCAATACTGCCTTGGCCTTGAAATCCTTACACTATGTGCATCGCCAAACACACATCAGTTGTTCCCTTTTCCCTCCCTGAGACCACCATGTACGCCACTGTCCTGATGAATTATCAAGGCAAGAAAAACAACAGACCTGGCAGGGTCCATCCTATTGATTCTGCCTTTCCAGCAACAGAACCTTCTCTGTTTTGAGAAGCCTCGCCCACCCTAGTTCACACAGTCTTATTGGAACGGTCAAGCTGCCCCACCCTCCAGCTAGCAGTGGGTGTACTCAGAGCCCAAGCAGGCCCAACTCTCCCTTGAATGTAAAGATTGCCTACAACAACCAAACCCTGTGGAGCAGATCGATGGCAACAGTGGCACACGAAGAAAGTTGTCTATCTGTTCTTGCTAAATGCATCCGTGGAGCTGGTTCACGCCCATCTTTTCTGAGGCCTACTTGGTCATCTTTCCTTCAGGGTAACAGGTAGTCATTGCCTATTCTGTTTAAATTAAATAGAATCTGTTTCTGTTGTTTGCACCAAATGAATCCTGACTAATGTATTTTCCAATCCAAGGACACTGCCTTCATGTCTGGCTGTGAAATAGTCAACTAAAGCTGCCCACACAGCTATCAGGGGACACAGCTGTTGGGGGGAGCTACTTACTGGGCTTCTGGTACCAGCCGAAGGGATAGGTGCGAACTTCAACGTCAGGAAAGCTACAGTCCAAAATGCTCCAGGCTCCACCGTTCTCCTCACTGCACATCTGAAGTCCCAAGCTGCTCAGAGTGAGGCACACCACCTCTCCTCCTGGGCAGAAAACAGCCAGGACCAGGAATGTCAGCATGACGGAAGATGCGGATGGAGTGAGAGAAAGCCTGCCATCACTGGGGTGCAGTGTCGTATTTCAGGTACCAATGCAGCCACTGCTGAGAAACATGGGACCTGAACTTGAGGAGCCCCTGACCTAGGTGCACAGGGGTAGAGGCAGCTCATACTCATCCAGCACCTACCACAGGCCCAGGGCTGCACTGGGCTCTACTGTACCATTTCATTGCATCCTTCTGCAACCCCAGGAGGAAGGTAGCATTTGCATCCCTATGTATAGATGAAGAAACTGAGGCTTAGAGAGATGAAATAACTTGTCTAGAATCACACCGCTAGTAAGGGACTGAACAAATTTGGGGGGGATTTTTTGGGTTTTGTTTTAGAGTCTCACTTTGTTAGTCACACTTTGTAGAGTGATGTGCCATCGTAGCTCACAGCAACCTCAAACTCTTGGGCTCAAGTGATCCTCCTGCCTCAGTTTATTTTTATTGTTTATAGCATAGACAAGGTCTCATTCTTACTCAGGCTGGTCTTGAATTCATGAGCTAAAGTAATCCATCTGCCTTGGCCTCTCAGAGTGCTAGGATTACAGGCATCAGTCACCATGCCCATGCTGAACCATGCTTTAAATCTATCATGTGAATAGATCCAAAGTTCACTCCTCCAAGCTGCCTGCCCACCTCAGTGAAGTGTGTGGAAGGAAGGAAGTTTGGTGACGTAGAACTGCTTGCGTAAAGCTGACCACCACTGGCCTAGGAGCCATGTCCCAGCTGTCACATTTATCAGCCACTTCCCTCTCTAAGCCCCCACCCACTTCCTTATCTGTGAATGAGGATCACTCCTTCCTACCCCCAACAGGAGATGCTGAGGGTAACATAAGATCACAGCTGCCAATGCTCTTTCTAAACTGTGAAGTGCTATACTCGGGGCGAGTGAGTACATTTCTTACCTTCTGACTGGGAAACATTTAGAAAGCCAAAGCCAGTGCAACACGGGTCCACATCACATAGGCGTTCACATTCAAAGAACCTGCACAAGGAGAGACAGAGTGGCCTGAAGGCTCCTCCTGGTGACCCTGGGCCTCTGGGGCTGCAGTCATTCTTACTTTGGGGGACCAGCACATTTTGTGACTTCCTAAATTGGGAGTGCTTTGGCCAGTGTGCATGGGTAGATTCCTAACTTTTCTCAGGAGTGTTGCCTTGCTACCTCTCATTCATTCACACATTCATTCATCACGCATGCATTCTGCACTTACTGTGTGCCAAGCACTGAGCCCAGCTAACCCAAATGCTGATTGTACGCCTACAGTCCTTTCAGGTGAGTAGAAAGTCTCCATTTTGGATTCCAGGAAAAGGAAAAGCCAGTAAGGAAAGCATTTCTAGAAGGGGGGAGGTCAGGGTGACTCAGACCAGGGCCTGTTGGGGATGCAGGAACCGAGTCTGTGCTCTCTGTGACTTCGCCTCCTCCTTGCTGTAAGCATGGACTCTCTAGTCCCACCCTGTGAACGCATTTCTGCTTTCTGGATCAGCCCACCCAGGCTCTCTCTCAGGACCCACTGTGCCTACCCATTCAATGTAGCTACTAGGACTCGTCTTCTAGGACCAGTCAGGGCCTCAGTGAACCAGTGCTCTCAAGGTCACTTCTATGATCCCCCTGCCCTGCCCACATGTCCCAGTCTGACCACTTGTCCTGACACCTGAGCACTGTCTTAGCCCCTTCTCGGTGTGGGGACCCTGAGTTGCTCACGTCTCTCTCCTTCTTTGAACCCATCAAGTCCCAGCAGCCAAAGCTTTTATCTGGCAGGCAGCTTCTCCAGTGATGGTTGCATCTGTGCCCTGATGCCCGAGAGCCATGTCCCTGGCTTTCTCTCTCCCAGGGCCCTGCACGTCTTCCCACCTGCCACTTTCTTCTCTTTCCTTGGAGACTCCTTGCTAAGTTCCATCCTGGGTCGGGCATATTCTCAGCTGGCCACCCTCCCCTGAGCTCAGATACACAAGCACTGTTTCCCTAATTCCCACCTCAGTTCCATAGTCAGGTTGCTCCCTGGCCCTAACCCTCCCTTCTTTTCCATACAATGGTGTCCAGCCAGATCTCAAGACAGACTCACCATGTCATGCTGCCACCTCCATTTTCAAACATACATCTTAAACACCAGCAACATGATTCAGTGCAAAAACTCAACAACACTTTATTTTATTTTTAACAGAGTCTCACTTTATTGCCCTCGGTAGAGTACCATGGCGTCACAGCTCATAGCAAACTCCTGGGCTTAGGGGATTCTCTGGCCTCAACCTCCCAAGTAGCAGAGACTACAGGCACAAACAACAACACCCAGCTAGTTTTTGTTGCAGTTTGGCTAGGGCCAGGTTCGAACCTGCCACCCTCAGTATATGGGGCTGGTGCTCTACCCACTGAACCACAGGCGCTGCCCACCAACACCACTTTATAGATCAATATAATTCCTGCATGAATGACTCTTGAATATTAAAGTAAAAAAAAAAATCACCAGGGGACACAGCCTTAAAGTTCAGATTCTTAAACCTCACCCCAGAAAATGATGAGTTGGCAGGCCTGGACCAGGACCCAGGAATGGGGTTAATTTAAAAAAAAAAAAATGCTCTCCTGGGGATACTGAGAGGTAAGTGTAAAATAGCCAGGTACAATTAAGCAAACAAATAAATAATAAAGTAAATGTTTAAAATGATAATTATAATAAAAAGCCTATCGTTCTATTAAAGTCTGAATACAGCTGGTTGAGGCTTTGAGGAGCAAGTTATTATTGTGCTTGATAATTTTTGTAAATTGTCAAGATGTAGCTCATCATATCTCTGTGCCATTACCAACCAGAGGTTTAAGCTAAACTGTATGTTTAATAAGAGAAACTTAACCTTAGCCAAGGTTTTTTTGATACGGTTACCTCCTTATTATCCTTTTCCCTCTTATCTTTGAGATTTACAGTTTTTCTTCCTAAAAAGTTTGTTTGTTTGTTTGTATTTAAGAGATAAGGGTCTTGCAATATTGCCCAGGCTGAATTTAACTTGTGGACTCAAGTCATCCTCCTGCCTTAGCCTCCTCAGGAGCTGGGACTACAGGTGCACACCATTGCACCTGGACATTTTTTTTTTAATGCATCTGCCTTGATTTTTTATTATAGCACCTTCTTTAAGGAAAAAAGAAGGGGCTTAATAATGTAAAGTAGGGGTGGAGGAAGTGGCTTACCCACTAGAGATGGTTTTTTGAGACATAGGTTCCTTATTTCTGATGGAAATCCCCTTCAGTTTCTGGAATGGCAGGCGAGTGTAAAAGTTCTTCACTTTATCTTCCAGTATCACTACACAGAGGAAAAAAGAAATGATTTTACTAGAGAAAGATTTGCTGTATCCAGCAAGATGTGAGGACAAAGGAGGAAAATCCGGACTGAAAGTTTCCAACTCAAGGTGGCCCATTAAAATCATCACTGACTCTCAACTCCCATCCCAAATCTCACCAAAACAACTGCAAAGAGGTTCTTGTAAATACCTCTTGTAAAGACCTTGTAAACTCACAAAAACAAGGAGAATAAGAGAAGGGGCGTACAAAAAAGATTTTGAAACTGGAAAGCATATGGAGGAATAAAATTTGACTTAATAGACCTAAAAAAGCTGGCTCAAGTTTTCTGGGGGAAGAACCAAAAAGCGACTCAGTGTGTCTTTAGCATCCCACAGGGTTTAAGCACTGGCTGCTTATGGCTGGGAGTTCAGGGGGCCTAAAACAGAAAAATTGGCTAAGAAATATCGTTAAGAAGCATGAAGTTCCAGATGCCCACCTCTTGTTACAGTGGACAGCTGCCCCCTCCCCACCATGGAAGAAGGTGGAAGTTTCATTCTCTGAAGGGATCTTGGGTGCTTCAGGCAGAGTGAACGTATGAACACTGTACTGAAGACAGAGGGTTCTTTGAGTCAGTCCACACAGTGAGTGCTGAGACTTCCCTGCCTTCCAGCCTTATCTGACACCTAAACCACTAGCAGCCAGACTTATGCCCCACAGCCAGGTATTCAGTGATTTCTTTGGAGGAAAGGCCTAAAAATACCCATACGAGGGATCCGCTGAAGGGTAGCCCAACTGGGTGATAACCGGAGAAACATAAAGTCAAGAAGCTCCTACCACATACTCAGAGCTGCCCACTCAGCTGTGGGCCCCTCTGATGTTTGGGTGGCAAAACAGAGGTCACCAGAAATCTGAGAAAGGCTGCCAGCAACAAAGGTAGGACAGTGGGTGCAGGGGGAAAACTTCTGGAGGAAAGAGAGTTTGTACAGGGTGGAAAACACTCCGAAAAGATGGCAATCTTAATGTCCTTGGAAAAATCACCTTCTATCTTGTTACAGTCACTGTTGCTAATCCTCTGTGACATACGGTCACATGGACCAACATATGTGTTCACAGGAGCCAGATTCTAGAGCAAGACAATTCTCTATATCAACCTAATGTATCCCTGAATGGCTTCACATTTCTATAAGGAACATGAGAGACTTTACTTTTTTTTAAAAAAGACGTTAATCTGGATATTTCTAAAACTGCAGAGCCAGCAGCCCATTGGAAATACGATTTATGCAGATTCCACCTAGCACACACCTTTCTTCTGGAACAGGACCTTCGGTTCATGGGGCAGGACCAGTCTGCAGCCCTGGGCACTGGACTCCATAGTGTTGTCACACACCTGGGCCTCTGGGTAGAGGGTACAGGTGAAGTACAAGGGTGCAGTCTCTGTTACCTCTGCGAGCTGACAGAAAGACGCCTCCTGAACACAACCTATGGCAAGAGATCAGTTGCTTTTAGTTCTTGGGGACCCTAAAGGGGAAAATCATCTTCACAGGATTCTCTGGAGAAAAAATACCTGGCAGGGACCCAAGAAGCCATGATCACCCAGTCTAGAAGGCCTGAGAAAAAATGCTGGGTTCTACTAGCTGGAGGGGAGGTCTATGCAGCCCTGAATCAAGACAGAGTGAAATGAGGTGAGGTGTAAGCCTCACATTCAGCAATACAAGAGGTGAAAGGACAAAATTCTATTGGGTATAATCATGACCATTTCAGAGACATTTAAGATCTTCAGACCAAAGTCCACAGGGCTATAACATCTGTGAACTCTGTGATCTCTCCTGCCACCATGCCCTGGTGAGTCTCTGCCTCTAACATACATGAGTTCAAAGGGCAAGATATGTTGTGGAATCATGTTTTTGGTGGTAGGTTTTTTTCATCTGTAAAGTCAAACACAAGGAGTAGAACATAATGTATGTTCAGTAACTGATGGATGGATGAATGAGTGGGTGAATGGATGGATGGATGGATAAATGGATAGAAGGATGGATGGACAGTTGGGCAGACAAATGGATGGATGGATGATGGATGGATGGATGGATGGATGGATGGATGGATGAATAGAAGGATGGATGGATGGATGGATGGATGGATGGAAAGATGGAAAGAAGTATGGATGGATAGAAGCATGGATGGATGGATGGATGGATGGTTGGTTGGATAGATGTAAGGATTGAAGGATGGATGGATGAATGAGTAGGTGGATGAATGGATAGGTGGGTGGGTGGATGGATGGATGGACAATGGAAGGAAGGACAGATGGAAGGATGGATGGATGGGCTGATGGGTGGATGATAGGTTCTGGGAGCAAAGTAGAGATTAACTGCATTGTGAACTTCTTGAAGAGAGGGATTATGTTCTATCTTTCTTCTATGTGACCCATGGCATGAGGAGTGCAGTGATTCCCGGGTTGCACCACTGAGTTTGATCTGATGTTTCTCAGAAGTTGTTAAATGTCCTATTACACTTGGGTCTGGAGAAAAAGGGTGGGGTCTCAGGATACTTACGAGAAAGGCACCACAGGTTTGCCTGCTGGGCTGAAAACAGGTGCTTGAAAAGCCAGTACTGCTGTCTAGGCAGAGATTGGTTTCCACTGACAATGACCCGGGCAAGGTCCACAGAGGAGAAGAGTTCAGTTGACAAACCTGAAAAATAAGAAATCAACTTCCTTCACCCTTATCTCTGTAAAGTGAACGTGAGAAAGACAAAAGAAGAAAAAAACAGACAGAAAGAGACAGAGTCAGAGATAGACAGAAACATTTTTAGGCTCAGTGAGGCCAGAGAAGGTTTAAAGTCAGTAGAACTGGGAATCTGGTTGGGAAGGAAATTTTCAGAAGACCCTAGAAATCCTAAAAATTATAGAATTGCAAAATCTTAGGAATCTTGGTTTGGAAGAAACCTTGGGGGCCACCTGGTCCACCTTTTCCCCCAACACAAGACTTTTCCCCTTGAGATTTCTGGCTGATATGTCCACAGCCCTGTGTGGCATCTCCGTGCCAACCACAGCGGCCCACCCACCCTATCATTAGGGAGTTGTAGAATCAAGCCCGTCTGTTTATAACTTTTAACTATGGACTCTCCTGTCTTGTGAAGCCACATGGGGGCCCAACCTCTTTTGCTTAAACCCAGAAGCTGTGAGCCAGGCTGGGGCCACAGCACTCTAGCCTGGGCAACAGAGTGAGATTCTGTCTTAAAAAAGAAAAAAAAATTCTCATAGACAGCTCATTCATTAACAGTTTCAGAATATTTACATTTGATTTACACTTTTCAGGTATAAGTGAAGCACTGACCACAGACAGATGAATCTTGTTTTTTAATAGTTTTTTTTCTGACTTTGTTATCATGGTTGTTTTATTTCAACAGTGGTCAATTTGCAATAATTCTGCCTTCCTTTCTGTCCAGCTAACCATGTGCGGAGCAGCTCATACTTCTGAGAGGGTAGTTGGGTTAGACGTTGAGAGGGGAGTCTGTGCAGAACAGAGTGACATGAATGGGTCTATTCACTGATTAGACCTTGGTACTGTCATCTTGTCTCCAAGATGGACACCTGAGCGTATGAAAAGGTTTGAGGTTGATACCTGATTCTGTTGGTGATGCTGGCCTCAGTACTATGTCTCTTCTACATTCCAGAGACTCAGGCCGCGACCCCATGTCAGAATCTAGAGAGAAAAAGAGGAGAGTGGTTGTAACCTTGGGGAGGAGGAGTGGTGCTCCTCTGGTCAGCAAAATGGTATCAGCCTGTGGGACATTCGCCTCGTCCACAGCCAGGTACTTGAGACAAGGTGCCAAATAGAGCCCTTGGCACAGGTCTGCACTCTTTGGCCTTTTAATGGAACATCAGCCAATCTCCCAGATAGATCTATCATCAGTCCATGATAGATCTATCATTGCCCCATATATTAAAACCTAAAAGAGGATGAACCAGCAGAAAGGAAGTGCCAAATGTTTGCTTGGCCTGAGCCTCCTGTTTTGTCCCACACTTCCCTGTGGTCCTCGGCAGCATGATTCTTTAAACTGGGTCCACGGTACTACATGCCTAGGGGCCTGTTCCTGAGCCCCAAGCACCAGAGAGAGAGGCACATGGGACTAAGTAGCTGGGAAGATGCCTCTTGCATGTGGGAAGGCTCAGAACTCCCTGCCTGGTAACAAGGGTGACCTGTGGTCAATGAATCTTATCACACAGGAATCGAGTGCTTTCTCCCTCCATCCCTTCTTGAGTTTCTTGGTGTTTTATCAGATGAAGGGATGAGTCCCTCTTATGCCACAGAGAGCACACACTTGACAAGTAAATCTCTGCACATTTCCCTATGGAGCACAGGAGTCCCCTGTGAATGACAGGTGGGGCCAGACAATCTCATGCAGTCAGTGTCCTGTAAGAGCCCCACCCCTTCCACCATGGAGCTCACCTTTCCAGAGATAAACCTGCTGGAAATGGGCAAAAGTGTCTTGGGATCCTGGCAGTGACATCAGTCCTGCAAAGGAAGATATTTATTTGGGGGAGCTACAGTTTGCTGCCACTGGATAACCCCATTACCACAACTGCCCCATCTCCCCCCACATTGGCCCCTCCTGGGCTTGAGAACTCTGTCTCCCATAAAAATGTAACCCAAAAGTTTTTGGAGCCCTATTCCAGCTCCCTGGCACAAAACCAGAGCTGGTCAGAGCTCAGTGTCACACTTGGAAAACCAAAGGGATTACTTTGGTGAGTGATTCTTGACACAGAATCACTTACGGAATTGGAGATTGGCTTACAGAGACCAGAGGGCTGTGCTAGTTTTCCACATCATATAACTCCTTGGACACTCAGGCTTCATTGGCAAAAAGGAGTGGTAATTGTGAGTCTGGGAATTATGTACATAAACTGTCTTCCTGAGTCCTCAACATTGGATATGCAACCAATTTTTGGCAACTATTTATTACCGATATCCAATTTTCCTTCCCTTTCTTTAAAAAACCCACTTGTATGCCACCTGGATGTGACTGGATTTGCCACATCATTTCTAGATGGTCAATGTTGCCTTTGAGTTCCTCTCAATTCCCTTGTGACCTGGAAGGCAGAGGACACCTCTCAGACAGCAGAGTCTGGAGCCAAACAGCCCTCCATGCTGAGGGAGGTGACATCCTGAGACATCAAGATGCAGTCAAATTTTATTTTTGTTATTTTTAAGAGGCAGTTATTGGTAAGCAGTTATTATCATTTATCCAAATCTACAATGAACACCTTCCCTACATTACCTAATTTAAATCTCACAAGCATGCTATAAAGTAAGGTCCCCAATTTCCAGGTGAAGGAATCAAAGCCAAGGGAGGTTGATACCAGACTTTAAAGTCACCTGTTTGGCTCCCAATCCCATGTTCTTCCTTACCCACCACGCTGAGAGAATGATACACAGTCATGCACTGCTCAGCACCAGGGATCTATTCTGAGAAACTTGACATTGTCGCATGTACTTACAAACCCGGATGGTATATACACGTGTATATTTTTTATTTATGTAATTTAATACGTGGAAAAAAATATCCCAGCACTATCACTGAACATAAATCATTTCCCCTACCTGGTCTGAAATGCCAGTATCAAGCACTATATATCAGATTTCTCTACACACTCTTACAACCGTATGGGACCACCATCATATGTGTGGTCCATCATTGCTCAAAATATCCTGAGGTGCACGATTATACTTTAGAATTCTGCCCATCTAAAATAGTGAAAATTCTAGAAGTTCTTGCGTTTACAGAGCTCTACAATGTGCTATCAGAAAATTCAGCTATCAAAGTAACGAGCCCCAAGGGAGGATCATGGTCCATGATGTGGGGGTGACCCCCAAGTACTGAGTTGCATTTCCCTTTGATTTTACTTCTGAGATGGAAATAAGCAAGGATACTAGAACTTCTCAAGCTGCCCAATATTGGAATAACACATTTCTTTAAAGAATCCACTCATAATTCTCTTACAGCCTTCTTCAGAAGGTGGAAGTCATTTATAAAAATTTGGGAAAGTGAAAACCTATGCTATCTGGGATACCTGGACTTGGATCTCTGAAATTCTGAGACTTGTTCTCTGCACTGTGGAGAGTCATCACCACACACCCTGTAACACCAGCGCAGAGCAGGCAGCCGGCCACCTGCGCAGTTGTGTTCCGTTTTCACTATCTCCACGTGATACCATCATTTGCTTATTATAAAGGTCAGGTTGTGAGGCTTAAGACTTTTCTCAAGGGAAATCAGATAATTTTTTAAATTTTCTTAAACTTATTTGATACAATGATTCTTCTAAGATAGATAATTACAGAGAGTATATGTAGACATATGCATACAATTTTTAGCAATATGAATGTAAAGTAAATAAAGTTTTAAAATTACTTTAGATCATGCATTATGATTCTTATTTTACAGTTAAAGAAACAGCATCTTATCTTTAGTATGCTTTATTGCTTTCAAACCTAAGACTAAAACCAGTGGCCACTTTAAGAAATACTTAACCATGGGTAATATTGGGAATTTAGATTATGAGTCCTCAATAAAAACTTGCTCACATCCCCATCCCTGCCCCTTTCTGAGAGCAATAGTCCTTTAGGAAATTCCAAGAGGAGGGCCTTTGCCTCCCGCAGTCTCAGCTTCTGACCTGGATGAGCCGGTGGACCTTTCCCTCCACCCAGACCATCTTATTCTTGTCAGTATGTGTGCCCTGCTTTACATAAAGTGGAAAATCACAGGCGCCTTCCATCACCCTGAGAAAAATGGTATCCTGTTCAGACTCACCTGAGTTTCGGATGGTATCTTTGGCCCAGAATATACTAAACTGATAGGAACTGGGCCCCCTTACATATTTTGTCCACCTCAAGGCAACAAAGCCCTGTGTCATCAGCCTGGGAAATGTGATGAGTCTTAACTTCAGCCTTGATTTTTGTCCATTTCAACAGTTCATTCCAGTGGAATTCAGCTAAATTCAGCCCACATGTTGAGCCCCTCCATAGGTCCAAAAAGCCACTTGACCAGCATAGACAGAGACTACTGTACCCTGGGAAGCATCTTTGGAAATCATGACAAGGAGAGTTCTAGCCACTTGTTGGTTTTAATTATTAAAATCATTGCCAGGTCTCCATAGGAGTCATAGAGAACCCTGAAGTGAAAGACTAAAATTGCCCTTTTTGCTCTTATCTTCCTCAGGTCCCATCTCCATTTCTACACCCCAACCTTCCCTTTCCTACACTCTGGAAACCAGTTAGTGGTGCCAGCTCTTGGCAGGCTGCCCTCTACTCCTCCTGCCCTCAGTCCCTGCATCCCACCAGGCTGGCTCCTAAACTGCTCCTAGTCCATCCCCTCCCCTGAACCATCCAGCCCAGGTCTTCCCTGTGCCCTGATGTCATTAGACTTTTAATTAACCCCTCACTTTGATCTTGGCTTCTTCCCATCCCTCAGCCACAACACCCCAGGCATGCTTCCTGAAAGGTAAGCCTACCTCCACCCTTCCGTAGCTACACCAACTTCACAGTTCCTTTTGATCTAGTTCCTGAGAGCTAAGCAGCCTCATGCCTAGCTCCATTTCCAAGGTCCCCACCCCTACCCTGTCACCTCAACTGCTTGGCATCTCACCTCTGCAGCACTGCCATACTTTCACCTCTGCCTAGTACTCTTGTTCTCTTGGACCTGACTCTACTCATTCTTTAAGAGTTGGTTCTACACCCCTCCTCCTGGAAGGCCCCCATGAACCTTCCATCTGGGCCATGCACCCCTCCACTGGATGTACATGGTACTCAGAGAATACTGTTCTTCCATCGCACACCTGGCAGTTAACGTCCAGCTCCTTGGATGTGCTTGGAAACTAGGCCTTGTTCTGCTTTATATCCCCAGCCCTGGCACAATTTCTGGCACAGAACTGTTATTCAGCATGTAGGTGAACACAGGGAGAAATGAATGGGGAGCCAAAGCTATCGGTGACACCCACACCTCCCAGGTAAGAATGGATCTTTGGCCTCCCACACATAAGGTTAACCACCAATCAGTTTTCCTAAAGCGAACTTCTGACCCTTCTCTCCATGCTCTAAACATCCCCAGTATGCACAGAACTGAAGCCAGCCTTGTTCCCCCTCTTCCCTGATGCATGGTACCAGCTGTAACTGCCTGTGAATCTCTCCCATTCCCTCCACTGTAACAGAGTTAGTGTACCCCTGCCACACACACAGGCCAGGCTCCCTGCAATTAGGGCTGCAGTCACACCTGCACTCTTAGAACTAGGGAGGCAGGCAGGGAACTTGATTCTTCAGTGTGGATGGCTGTTGTGTGGTCTTTTTATTTTTTAATTTCAGATTAATATGAAGGTATAAATGATTAGGTTATATTATTTGCATTTCTAAGGTAAACTTCAAGTTGTAGTTGAGCCCTTCACCCAGGGGATGTGCTGGACACCCTCACATTGTGCACATTAGGTGAGAGCTCACCAATCTCCCCAATCTCCCTCTTTCTTTCCCTTTTCCTCTTTCCACTTCTCCCACTTGCATATAATTGTTTTTCTCTCCTGTGGGTGTGCACTTTTTTAATCTATTCATCTCATATTAGTGCTGAGTACATTTGGACACTTGCTTTTCCATTCTGGTGATACTTTACTAAGAAGAACGTACTTTAACTTCAACCAGGTAATACAAAAGTTGTAAAGTCTCCATCTTTTTGTGGCTGAGTAGTATTCCATGGTATACATACACCACAGTTTATTTATCCATTCATGAGTTGATGAGCACTTGGGTTGTTTCTGTGTCTTGGCAATTGTGAATTGAGCTGCAATAAACATTCTAGTGCAAATTTCCCTATGGCAAAATTATTTTTTTCCTTCTGGGTAGATATCTAGTAATGGGATTACTGACTGTCACAGGATAAAGGATTTAAATTGAAGGCACGAAACAATAAAAATGGTCTTAATTTGCTGCAGAATACTTCCATGGAAATCACAGGCTATGTCTGTGATGGTTAGCTTTCATCTGTGCCCTTGGCAGGGGCAGGATCCTCAGCTGGAAACCTTGCTCTGGGAGTGGTCACAGGTCTCTGAAGAGGGCTATCCTGGAGCCCCCCTCCATGGGGAGCCACAGATAATGCAGTTCTCTCCTTTCCCAACTAACTCTTTGGGCTTTGCTAATTAGCACAATGAATGCTAGAAATAAGTACACATTTATTGGTCAGATTGCAGCATTCAAAACACACAGATTGGCTAAATAAGTACCAGTCTCACACCTGCCCCCAAAGGAAGAATGTGCAGAGTCCCAAGCCCAAGGTCAAAACCTGTCTGTGACTAGTCACCATGTGAATGTGTCTTCATCTGAATTTGATGAAAAAGTGAATTGAGCTCAGCTCTTAGGATATTACTGGTTCTGTCTTAAATAAACTTTTCAAGCAAGTTAGCCTTGGAACACCTAAAAGAACTGGAACTGAATTGGGCTCACCAAACAAGTGACAAGGTGTGAAAGCCTGTTTGCTAGTAACTGCTTGGATGTGTGGCAGAATTCAGAGACTTTCTTTCATTACAGTCCAGTAGTGAGAGCTGCAGTCATCACAGACGACCATTACTAAGAATCACCTAACAGTTATAAGCCTCCAGATTGGTTTAGGCAGGTCTGGAACTGCTAATGTGGCTGCAGGAGGTCTGGCTGGGCCAGGCCTGACTCCCCTTGTCTGGAGGCACATGGTGAGAGGCAGAGATGGTGTCCTAGGGTTCTGCCCTTCAGATGGCACCTGGCAGTGGGGAGTTCCTTGTCAGTGACACTAGCATAATGCCACTCACCCAGAAGGTGCTGTGTTTATCTTCTTCCTCTACCAGACAGTAAGCTTCCTCAGGGGAGCCAAATACTCTAATCCCCACATCTGCACCCACTAGCATGAAGAAGCAGAGCTGGTGATCACGGAGTTAATGAAATCTGAGCTCTGCTACTCAGGAGAGGAAGTAAGCTCAGAATCTCTATGCCTCAATCTCCCCCGCAGGAAATGGAGAAAATACTGTTTATCTCTAGGACTTAGAGGATTAATGGAAGTAACATTTACTATTGGAACTGCTGGTCTGTGCTGAGGCTCTTTTTGGGCAACTGCAGGAAGCCATCAGTGTCCTTGCCACGGCAGCGTGATGGGGTGGGTGGGCCAGGAGGTGGCTACCCTCTCGCAGTCTCAACCAAGCACTCTGGAGCCCTCATGAATGAACATGCCAGCTCCCTGGCCCAGATGAGGTTCATTGTGAAGAGTGTTTTACACTGATTCATGGGATCAAGAGCAACTGGCCAGAGTCCACCCTTCCGTGGTGTCTTCACTTTCCTGACAGGTCTATCATATTCATCATCCTTCTTAAGTAAACACACACCTGAATCCTCATCTCGTGCCTGATTCTGGGAGAATCCAAAGACAAACACAAAGCATAGCACTGAGCACATGGCAACACACAGCAGCTGTAAGTAACTAGTAGGGTGATTGTCAAATGGCCCTTCCTATTTTTAGATATTCATCAGATATCTAATCTAGATTCTTCTGGTTACAATGAGTATCATAGATATATCATAGGCTTCTCCACCTAGCTCCTGGCACCACAAGATAATGACAATCCCTGATACAAGCCAGTCTCTGAAAAAGGGAATATCGGACACCAGGCTGAGCCTCACAGTTGCTCAACAACACCAAGCCTTTTGGATTCAGAATGAACCTAGTAGCCTTTCTGCCAAAGCCTTCTTTTCCTATCAAGTTTTAAGTCCCTATGGGATTAGTGGACATTTAATCTGTCTGTTTTTCATCCATTTTCACTTGGAGATAGTGTCAGAAACTAGCCATTTTCAGTCCAACAGCTTTCTAAGAAAATAGAAATAGGAGGGTCGATCCAGCCAACACCCAATAGTTGCAAATTCTTTGACATGCTCATGGGAAATCTGAAGTGCAGCTGTTGGTGGGCTCCCAACTTGAGAAAAGGTACAAGGGCTGAGCAGAAATCTCATCTTCTCAGTCATCACTCATTGCTGATGGCAGGAAAGGGAAACTTCCTCTCAAAAAGCACTGTGTCTCTGAACTGTATAAAAAGTCTCTTGGTGTTTTGTAGGCTGTCTGTGTATCTGTTTGTTGTGGCCTGGTGCATTCTGCAATCCCATTAGTCTGCTAAGATGGGCAAAGAGGCCTGCTGTGTTTCACAGTTTCCTCATCTGTCACCCCAACTAGCTTGTGACTCCTTGAGACCAGAAACCACTCTGCCCATCTTTGTCCTCCAGACCTAGCCTGTTCACCACACACCTGCTTGGTAGATATTCAGGATGTGAGGGTGGAAGGGGTTAGCACTAAAGCTACGGCCAGTGTGCAATGCACACTTCCCAGCTCACGTCTGCCACTCATAGCTGACCCTACACCTTTCCTGAATATTCTGTCTCTTCTCCCAACAGCCTTTTGAAATTCTTGCCATAGAATATACTGTAAGCCACCATCAAGGTCACTATCTGGAGTACAGCAGGCCCTAAAGAGAGCTGAGGAGTAAAATTCTTCTTTACTGGAGACTCCTTAATTTGCAGGTACCATGTCAATTTTGAAGCACTTTATGCTTCCAGTAAAGTATACACGGGGCCACGGAAGAAGACCGTGGTCCTGAAAGAAGGATAGACAGCTCTGGCCTCCAAAGCTGAAGGCCGTTCCTAGAAACATGTCATGTCACAGCCCCGAACTTCATCCTCATAGGTAGAACTGTGATATACCACAGCTGTGATGCTCACCAGACTGTCAGAGGGATCAACTGAGCTGGTGCACATGAGTGTACTTCATATGGTGAAATATAGGTATCAACATGCTTACTACTTGAATTTAGAGTATTCTGCCGGGTTGTAATTCCCCATTCCTGGCAATAAATTCACTTATGCTTTATAAAAAAATGCTAACCCTTGGTTAACCAGGCCAGCTGTTGAGCAAGATCCTGGCTGATTAACAAAGCAGATGTCCATACTCAGAGGCCCTATTGAGTGCCTCTGTTGGGTGTACAGTTGGCAGACCGGGACCGGGGACCAGGGACCAAGTCCTTACACTGCAGCCTGCAGAGGATGCCAGCACTTCCTTCAGTAATATGTAACACATGCCCCCACTTTACAGGAGACCCGAAAGCTCAGTATGGCTGAGTGACTTGGATAGGGTCACAGAGCAAGGGGAAAGAGAGGGACTGAGCTCTGAGAATTTTAAACCTCAGCCTGGGTGGCTGCTTATGCCAGCACCTCCCCTGCTGCCTCCTTTTCTAATCCTCCCAACCTCACTAACACTCAGAGTTCTCACTTTATAATTGGGCAGCCAGAAAAGCCAGACCGTGAGGATGCACCCACACTGGGATTTGAAAGTCTGACTCTGAACACCATCTATCATAACCCATAATCACTAAGTGGGAACAAAGAGGCCAAGCCTTAACCATATGTGCAAGGACAGACTTTATCTTTATCACCCCTCACCCTTCCCTGTGTTCTTTCAGTCCCTTCTAGTCCGTCCCCTGCAGCAGCTCATATCCCTGCAATCCTCCTCCTCTTTCCTGCCATCAACATCAGTTGTTAGAAAGGCATATCTGTCAGCTACTCACAAGTAAGTAAGAATTTAAACCACTATATTTCTCTTGTCAGGAGTTAATTGTACTTAAAGGCTCGGCTCTAAATTTAGAAAGGAAAGATTAGTGCCTTATTTTCCTCAGTTGAAGCCAGCTTCCTGATCAGTTTGTGTATGAGGGAACCTCCACCTTAGGATATCAAGAATACACTTCAGGCTGCCTAAAATCCTCAACATAGGATACCATTCTTACACCTTTGCCCTCACCCCACAACACACACACATACACAGGTACTGACACAAAACCTAAAACCTTCAAAAGTCTTTCAGTAATCATTCCTTTTCCAGGAGGCCAGACAAGGGCATAGTGTTCACTTTTTGGTCACACCCCCAGCACATGCCCTGGGTTAAGCAAATCACTCTGGATTTATTGCCCAGGAATCTATCATATGTCTTTCTTGCAATGCCTGTGTTCACCCTGGGCTACTTCTCCGAGTTAATGAATACCATATGTTTACTGCCCAGCAAACAAATAAGCTATTTGATGTTATTTATCCCAAAAGAAACTATTGAAGCCCTATGGAATTCCACCAAATTCTACAATATTTTTTCAAGGCTTTAGTAACCGTGTACTATGCAGAAAAGTATATTTGCTATGCCAGGTTTTATGCCCAATGGTGTGAATACAGAACTTAATGAAACTCAGTCCAGTCTTAAAATATGACAAAGAACAGTGATGAATTTAAAGAATAATGACAATAATAGTATCATCTACTCTTAACACTCTATGCAGGAGGTCTGCTAAGTCCCTCATGTGTATCACCCACAAGCACCAAGGCAGGAGGGCAAGGAGGAACAGCAGTTTGGGAACCACCTCACTCTGAAGTGGATAATGAAGCATCGTGTTGAAGATCCCGAGTATAGGATCGATGCCTCAGAGGTGCCTGATTCAGCAAGCCCTATGCACCATTTCTACCAGGAGGGTCTCACTGGTGGGGAGAATAACTTTAAAGGAATCCAGACGAAAGGCAGAGACTTACTCCTGGTGAACTCCTGGCCTCCCAGACGCAAAGTCAGCTGGCGGCTCTCCTGGTCGTATGTCATGCCAGGACACATGGCTCTGGCCTGGGCCTCAGCAGAGTCCCTCCAGTCTTCTGTATTGCAAAGCAGGACATCGGGATTGCTCAGCAGCCCACAGAGGATGGGACCTGTGGAGGGAAGGAGGAGCAGTCATGGGAGGGGAGCCAGCAGGGCCCTGTAGATCCACTCTATACCCAGAGAGCCTGTGGATGAAGATGGTGACAACACCTCAGGAAAGCACAAGGACAGTGGAACTCAAGAGCCTGGTTTTAAATGGGGACAGTCTTCCCTGATGGTGCTGTAGCTGTGTTACTGGCAAATTCCCAAGGGGAGACCACCGTGGCCGCTGACCTGTCCCTCTCCATCAGAGCCTCTTCTTCACAGGCTCTCAGCAACAACAGCCCTTCAGTGTCCCCGGGTGTGTAGTGTGTGTGTGGCGGGTTACTGCCAGGATCCTCAGATACCGTTTCTACCCCACCCAACACAGATCTCTGGGAGCTGCTGCTGCTGCTGCTGCTGCTGCTGCATTTTCCCCTCCTCCTCCTCCTTCATTCTCTCTCTCTTCCTTTCTCTCTGTCTCTCTCCCTCTCATGCACTCATGTGCACACACACACACACACACACACACACACACACACACACGAGATCGACCTTGCAGGGACTCAGAGAGTATTTAGAGTCAAAGTTAAGAAACTCTTACAACCTAAGACCTGCACACCCATGACATGAACTTCCACTGTGTGCCCATATGACTGAGTGTGTAGGGTGGACTCTGTAGCTAGGGGGGACACTGAACTATCCCGTCATAAGCAGGTCTTCCTACTCGGAATTTACAAAGCTGCCCTCCATTCATCACTTTGCTTAGACCCAGGAAGACTTTCTTTCAAGTTACTAGCATATGCCAGTGATTTTAGTTGGATAATTTCATGTAGCTCAAATGTTTTCGAGGTCTGCTACATGCCAGCCACTATGGCAAGCGCCTGGAGTCTGTTCATTTCTTAATGCTCATGACATTACTATCTCTGTTTTTTAAATTATTGGTACATACTGGCTGTATGTCTTTACAGGGTGCATGTGATGTTTTGATAGAGGTATACAATGTGAATTGGCCCAAACAAGGGTTATCTCCATTTTACTGATGAGCAAACCGAGGCTCAGTTAAGTAAATTGCCCAGGTTTACTCAGCCCCGCAAATTAAATAATTGACACATCATTTAGATAAATAACGTTTATAGGTTGTATAGTTGTTCAGACTCTTGCAAGAAAGAAAAAGGGAAATACGTCACCCCCAAACCCACAACTCCCACTTCGTTCCTTCTCATTTCCTAATTCATGTCCAGGTCTGGATATAGCTCCACCCATTTCTCCAGAGTAGGTGACTCATGGATGTCTGGCTCAGAGATTTCACATTTTGTCCTTTTCTCTTGTACTGGCCACTCTCAAATTATAGTAGTTAAGAGCCAGCAACATCTTTATATTTAAAAAAAAAAGTGGCCTTTGAGGTCATCCAATGTGATGGCTCTCAAACCAGAGTATTAGACTGATGATTTCAAAAACATGGGATTTTGAAAATGCTCACGTCTGGGTACAGACCACAGAGTTTCTGCCTCGGTCGGTGGCACATATGGGGGGTGCGGCATTTCGGCATCAGTGTTTGTAAAGAGCACCACAGAGAATCACTGCCCTAGTTAGACCACCACACTGCACAGATGAGGAAACTGAGGCAAGAAAAGGAGAGTGGTTTCTCCAGGGCTGAGAAAGCAGGGGATGGCAGGGAAAGCAGAGAAAGTCTCAGCAAGGGGCAGACCAAGCCAGCTGTGGAGCCCAAGGGCAGGACCAGCGCCTGGCACAGTCAGAGATGGCAGGAGCTTAAGGAAGCCTGAGCTCTGTGGCCTGGCCCTCTCACAAGCCAGAAGTCAGAATTAAACAGGAGGCAGGGCGCATCTTCCCCTCTGCGCTCAGGTCTTAGGAGAGAAACCATTGCAGCTTTCTCCTATAGCTAATGCCAGAGAAGTCTGTGCCCAGGAGGGGGTCAGGGAGGAGCTGGAAGTCCCTTTGCTGGTCACACACTGCCAGTTCCAGTCACACACATGTGACCCTTAGGCCACACAAAGCCCTCTGAGCCCTTCTTCTAAGCAGCCTCAATTGAAATGTAGGTTCAGAAGCCTCATGAATTCCTTGGAAGCAAAGCCATTTAGGGGCTAGAGGCTGCAGCAGGCAGAGTCAGAGTGGCTGGAAGGGGTGGCGGGAGGCAAAGGAAGAGGGAGGCTACTAGAGTTAAATGACTTTCCAGACCGCTGTGAAGGAGGTAGCAGGATTCTGTTCCTGGTCATTAGCTCATCCTGCCAAAGCTTCATAAAACTCCAAACCTGGGGGCACAGTGTAGGGTATATGGCCTACCTCCTGGGTAAGGAGCTCAACTGCAACTTGAACTGTACTGAACAAACACAATTTGCATGTACTCTTACATTTATCTAACAAAAAATAAACCTCATATCTGCCCATTGGACAAGACCGGGGTAAACATCTGCCTGACACTTCACGGGTGTTCAAAGAAGGCTTAGCTTTCAGCGCTGCCAGGTGGTTACTCAGCTCAACATAATTCATAGATCACAGGTTGAACTTGGAGAGAGAAGCGAGTGAACTGCAGGCCAGGATTTTGTGGGTTTGCTGCTCCATGGAACAGACGATTCTTCCATATATAATCCTAAGGAAAATGAGGTCACCCTTTCCAACTTGAAAAAGCATATGGTCTGGTGAGTAACTGAGCATCTCGGGAAACTATAGGTCCTCAGGAAATACATTTAGTTCAAAGAACAAATCCTGGATTTGAATTCCAGTGTTCTAAACAGAGATATACACGTGTATGTGCAGAAACTGCCTGTGTGCCTGCGTGTGTACAACACGTTTTTCCCTGTCTGAGCACTCACATTCATCCATGCCACTTGATCATAGAGAATTAAACTTAGAAAGAAGTTTAGAAACCAACTTGCTTTAATCTGGGTTCCTGCCCATCACTCCAACCAAGCATTCTCATGGTAGCCACCACTGGCCACAGGGAGCTAAATCAGCATTTTTCCCCAATCACCTTGTTTGAACCCTCGGCAGCAATGAAGACTGCTAATGACTTCCTCTCCCCCCAGCCCTCTTTCACCTTTTGGTTTCAGGGAGATGACAGTCTCCTGGGTGCCCCCCTCCCTGCCTGGCTGCTGTTCCTCCTCCTCTTTGCACACCTAATGAGCCCCATCCCCCTTTCTCTTCTCACCTGCACCGTCCTCTCAGGAAACCCACACCCCCACCTACACCTTCTGATACCATCTCAATGCTGGTCATTCACACAGTTCTATCTCCCACCCAGACTTCCCTTCTGAGCTCTGGATCTTTGTATCCAAAAGCTCAGCCAGCATTTTGTGGATGTCTCAAAAGTACTTCAAACATAGCATGCCTCAAGTGGACTAATGACCATCTGCCCTCACCAATCTGACATCTGACATTACCCGCCACAGGCCTAGACCACTCAACCAGGCAAATAAGCAAGATACTCAAGAATAACCTTTGACACCTCTTCCTGCACCCCATATCCAAAGTCCTGTTGAGTATTCCCCCTTTTCCTCCTCCCCACCATGATCACCCTAGCCCCAGCCACCGCCCTCTCCTCTCTGGGCCACCACAGTGGTTCCCAGCTGGTCTCTATGTCTCTCTCACCCTCACCCATGACCTTCTCCATTGCCAAGCCAGACTGTTCCTACCCAAAACTCAAAACTGATCACGACACTTTCCTGCTTGAAATGTTCACTGGTTCCACGCCTGTCCTCCCCTTGTCAAGTCTCCCACCTGGCTCTCGTTGCCCCAGCCCACCACGATCTCGGATCCTCCTCCTCCTCGTGCCCCTCCTCCCACAGGGCCTCTGCATGGGCTGCTCCCTCCACCTAGCGTCAGCTTCCCTCTTCCTTCCCCTGGTTTAAACCTACACATTGGGCAAGATTTAAGGAAGTCTTAGTTCATCTCTCTGGATAGGAAAAACTATGGTTTTCAAAGTAACATTTAACTTGTTTTCAGAGTGTAGCAACTAACAAGCATCCTTTCCTCTCCCTGGACCCGAGAGGAGTGGAGGCAGGGAAGCAGAGTGCAGGCTCCCTGTGCCATGAGTCAGGAAGGCTGAGTCCTGCTCCGCTCAGAGACGCAGCTGCAGGTCACCCTGGGATTCTCCTGATTCACCAACTTTCCTCTGCACTAAAGTCTGCTTGGCTCTCCTACAGGTGAGGCCAGATGGCTGTTTCACAGCCTAGGGAGTTTTAATCCATCAGGGAGATGAACATGTGGATTTGGATATTAAGAGAAGGGGCTTAATATCATTCGAGGAGCAGGAAATCAGGAGCGGGGTGACATGAAACATGGGGACTCTGGGCAGGTGGTGTGGGGCTGGTGATAAGAGAGCAATCTGAGACCGGCACTAAGACCAATCAAAAGTAATACTGGCCTGAATACAGACAGCAGCAGTGGGGAGGGAGCAAGCCTTGACCCCAAATATGCTAAGAAGGTGGCAACACAGAGTTGGAGTGACGAACTGGCAGAAGGGCAGCAGGGCTGAAGGCACAGTGCCCTTCCCCGAGGTGGGTTCATTTAGGGCACAAACTACTTGTTTATTTAGAGACATGTTTCTATCAAGGAGGATATATCCAGACAGCAGATGGGTATAGGGATGTGGACCTCTGCCAAGAGGTCTCAGACAAAGTAGGGACCCACGAGGGGTGAGCAGGACCCACCGGGGGTGAACAGGACCCACAAAGTGTGAGCAGGACCCACTGTAGCAGTGTGCGAGGTTTTAGATACTGAGAAGTGTCTGAGAAGCTGAAGGGGACGGGGAGGGATCCCAAGGAGCAAGAGGACATCTTGGAGGTCAGGAGAGGACAGAGTTGGGAGAAGGAAGCAGAGGGCAGTGGTGTCACCTGCCAGAGATAACCACCAGGCTAAAAGGGGCCAGAAGGGTCATCTGGTGACCAGAGAGCTGGGTGGGAGATTTTGGGAGGGGGTTAGCTTGCAGGGTCTGGCTATGGTGGGGAAGGAGGGGTGCTCGAGGGAAGACAGGAGATCAGGGCTGTGTGGTATGGAGCAAGGCTGAGAACATTGCCCATGCCTCAGAGTGGGCAGCCAGGGGGGCTCTGGGCTGCTACATGGGAAGCAGGAAAGAAGAGAAAAGGGGGTACACCCCTGAGAGGGGGAGGTAGTGGGTCCTGGCATCCAGCACTCAGGGCTAGTTGTAAGAGGAGGTCCGTTTTCATCCTGAGCCTGAAGGTGATGGCAGGTAGATGCTAGAGGTAGCTATAGCCCTGGGAACGACACCAGGAAACACCTGACTCCTGAGCAGCCCAATGCCCCAATCATAGCCCATGGGTGTCTCTGCCTCCAGTTCAGCTCACAGAGATGCCTGCTCTGGACCCAACTCCAACTCCTCTCTATCTTCAGAATACTGCTTATCCCGCAAGCCTCCTCTTCTGGAAAGTCTTCCTGACCATCCAGTCCTCAGGGTCTCCCCCTAAGGTTCTATAGTCTCTCCTCACTTCGGGCATTCCCCATCATACGCGGCTCGTTAATTAAGCCTGGTGCCGAGTGGGGCACCATGCCCATTTGCTGAATGACAGCAGGGATGAAGGAAGGAGAGAAGGCTGTGACCTTGTCATGGTGTACCCTGCCTCTCCCCATGGACCCTCAGCCCTTTTTATCTGTTCCTGAAACCCAGGACATTGGATCGCACATATACGGTAATTCAGTAAAGTTTTTTATTGATCAGTGTGGGCCATAGCATGATAGATCACACTACGTGAGGTTTTTTATTAACCTTTAGAATTCTCCGTAGGCATAATGTTACTAGGCACATAGTTGGTTGCAGTAGGACTGTTTCTCATAGCAGAGTAAAGTCCCTCTGTTAGCAAACCAGGAGCCAAATCTATGTCCAGCATTTTACACTCATTATCTTAAAACAAGCAAATGGGAAGTATCGTTATCTCCATTTTATGAACAAGGGAACTGCACCTAAGTTTAAGCAACTTGCCCAAGATTATACAGCCAGAAAGTGACAAAGCAGTGAGTAGAACCCAGGTCCATGACATCAAAGTCCCTCCTGAACTGCTAGGCTACACTGCTGTGTACACGGATGTGTTTCTAGAAGCAGAAGCACATCCCACAGCTAGGAGACTACTGAAAACGACAATCCCACTGTTCCTAAGGCCTGGCATACAGTGGACACTCACTGGATTATCACTGAGTGAATGACCGTGGGCAAGAGGAATGAGCTCACAGGTTTTGAATCAATGTGCCCAGTCCAGGCTGCACAGGTGGCAGTGAGATGCTGCAGAAGACACACCTGGAGATCAAATCCCAGCTCTGTCGCTTTGCAAGCTGTATGACCATGAGCAATGAATTCCCTGAGCCTCGGTTTGGCTGTTTACCTCCCCTGAAGACAACAGTAAGGAATAAACCAGTGTCATGGTGTGAAGTATGTGGCAGGTGAGAGGATCAGGCAACCTGGCTCCTCCGTCCCAGCATGTCCCCAGCCCTTGTTTGGCCCGGGCCCTCACTGTCAGCATTACCTCCTGGGATTTGTGTGAGGACAAAGCCATCGCAGCACGGATCACGGTCACATTCAAGAAGACAGAAGAGGTGGGCATCGGTCAGATTGGCCCCTAAGAATGCGACAGGGCTATACAATCCAGAAAGCATGTTTTGGAAACCAGTTGGTTCAAAGCTCTTCTGACGTGTCACAGTGAATTCTTGGCCTGGGAAAAAGGCAGAGAAAAATTTTGAAAGGCGTCAAAACATGGCAGAGTTGAACTGAGTTTACTGATTTCATAGAAGAGTCTGTTAAATTAGCCCTGACTGTGGTTGGACAGTGTGTGGTCCCAGACAGACACTGAGCCATGAAACTTCTGGACGTGCCTGTGCATGGAGAGGATGGGGTGGCCAAGTCTGTGGCCCCAAAACCAATGGATCTGGACAAACATCCTTCATACCTCTGAGAGCCCCAAGGGCACGTGTGGAAAACTGGAATACATTATTATTTGCATTAGTGCTGGGAAACATTTGTGGAGCTCGATGTGTACATAGTGCCACATGCTTCCTCTGCACTATCTCGCTCAGTTTTCACTGCCCTGCTCTGTGTCACACGCACTTCTGGAACACAAGTTCGTGTGAACACGTGGCAGAGAGGGGACCTTGCCCTTGTGACACTCAAGTCACACTGGTTGATCAGTCTACAGTTTTCCCAGCAGGTCATTGCCTTGTACGGCCAAACATCAACAGAGCAATGCAGTGGGGACAAACGCAGCTGGACATAACAGCTGGACACAGCAGGCTGTGGAGCAACCCAGGGCTGTCCACGTGCCCCTCACCCACTTTCTTCCTCCTGCCTCAGACTGGCCCCTTGGCTCAGCCTTCGAAGTAATGATTACAGGATTTCCTTCACTTTGTCTGGCCAGCCCTTGTCCCCATGATCCAGCAGCCCCGTCCCTCTTCACACTGCCTGCGGTCGGCGACCTCGCCCTTTTACGTTTACTCTATTATGAATTCAACGTGCCTTTGTAAAAACCATTCTGGCATTTTAAGCAGGATTGTTATTGTTTTTTCCAGTCCTGTGGTTGAAAGTGGCACAGTTTGGGTTTTGTCTGTCTCTAAGTCTAGTCTTCCTATCAGTCTGTTATTTTTACAGCATTGTTTTGCAAACACGAGATTTGTCAGAGATATATATGTATACGAGTACATGTTGCACTAGAGCCAGAATGTCTGCCCTATCCTTATGCCCATTGTACATGTGAAGGAAAAGAGTCTTAGTACAGGAACCATTTTGCCTAGATGTACATGGCTGGTGGGCAGTGGAAGGGACACAGAGCCTGTGCCCTCCATCACCCTGACCTCCTGTCAGCCTGGCTGTTCACCAAGTCTTAACTGACTCTCACCCCTGCATGTCACGGTGAAGCTTACAGTGTGTGACCCAAGAGCACAAGCTTACAGAGCTGTGTGCAGACCCTGGCAGCACCCCTGCCCAGCAAATTCCTGTTTTCTCAGTTTCCTGAAAGTTTCAAGTTTAGCTGTTTACCTTCCCTGAAGACAACAGTAGAGACAACTGAGAGTCTCAGTTTCCTCATCTGTATAATGGAGATGATAATGAGTAACCCTCATGGAAATTGAACAGATTTAAAAAACAGACATGTATATAAACAGGCTGAGCAACAAGCCTGGCACTTACTTACGCCCTACAGATGCTTTACTTGTCTCCAGAAAGCCACATCTTCTCTATCTCAGTATGGAGGGACAGAAGCCTTCTGCTGGGAACACCCTCAGCTATGCCGGGCAAGGCCCCCACCCAGCCTTCCCCAAAGCCCATCAAGCCCTGTGATGTGTCCATCACTGGATTTTGACAGCCAGAATTAACCTCTTCCTCCCTTGATCGTGGGCATACACTAGAGGCTCTGCCACTCCTCCCCCTGTGTTCAAGCTCCCTGAGATACTGTCTGCCTCCTCTACCAGTGTGGGATTCCCTGGAGCTCTTCTCTGATACCTGATGCAGCAGTCACTGGCTGTGTGACTATTAAGTATCAGCTTCAGCTGATCAAAGTTAATGTTGCAACAGCCAGCCCAGGGCCAAGTGTTAAATCATAGGAGTGATTAGACCGTGACAGCACAAACATACAGACGAGTTCCAGCGCTGCAGGAGGTCCTCCTGGGCATGCTGCCCCAGGGTCTAGGTCCCGACTCAGCTCACCCTGACGTCCTTCACACAGAAGGTGCACAGAGGAACAGACCACCTCTCCTGAGACCTCTGTGTGGTGGGGTGCTTCCCGTCCTTCAGGTCTTAACTCCAATATGCCCTCCTCTTGTGTTCCACACCTGACCACCCTGGGCAGCTCATGTATACGTTTATCCCACTGTCCCATCCATTTCATCTGAGCATGTACCACCCTCTGAAATGATTTTATGTCTGGTCAATCCCTCTATCACTCATTCTGTCTGTTTTGTTCACAGCTGCATCTACAGAGTCTAAAAAAGTGCTTATCCTGTAGCACGAATGCTCAGTGACTACTCAGGGCTGTGCCAGTGCTGAGATGGCCTTCTTAGGTCCAGACAGCACTGCAGGCAAGGAGGTCCACAGTTGGGGGAGGTTCCATCTGGAAGTCAAGGGGAACAAGATACTTCTTCTTTGTAGGTCTCACTTGTGATGTGAAGGGCTGTGTTAGAGGATTTCTAAGAAGTTCTAGGCAAGGCTGGGTGCAGTGGCTCATGACTATAAGCCCAACACTCTGGGAGGCCAAGGCAGGAGGATTGCTTGAGCTCAGGAGTTTGAGACCAGCCTAAGAAATAGTGAGGCCTCATCTCCACTAAAAATAGAAAAATGACCCAGGCATTATGGTAAAAGTCCCAGCTATTCAGGAGGCTGAGGCAAACTCTTGAGCCTAAGAGTTTGAGGTTCTTGTGAGCTATATTGACGTCATGACATCTAGGCACCTGGGTAACAGAATGAGTCTCTGTTTCAAAAAATAAAAAGCCTCCAGGCATTGATGCCCTTTGGTTCCAAAAAACAGCACAGCTCTTCCTCCACATTCAAGACCCCTGGATATTAGGTGGGCATGGGCAGAAAGAAGACGGTATGGATAAGAGATCAAGCTCTGAGTCTCTCTGGCCCTTTTGTAAGTCCCACCTTCCAGGTCACTAATGGTCAGGGGTATGAATGGACATGGTTAGCTGCCTACCAGGGGCGAAGGACTGTGTGGGAGATGTTCACAAACAATATCCTTTCCTCCTCAGCTGTGACATGTTATTCCCATTTTACAGAAGAGAGACTGAGTTTCAAGTGAAAGGAAGTGGCGGTTCCTGATCAGGGTCAGAGCAGGGAAGACAGGGGCGGGCTCTGAAGCCAGATCAGCTTACTCCACTCCACCCTGGAGCCAGACGGCTGTGTTTGTGCATCTCCTGCTTTAAGTAAAAAAAAAACCAAAACCAAACAAAGAAAAGGCAAGACATAGCTCTGCCCTTGTTTTAGCTTGGCAACAAGGACATTTTCCAATTTCCTTTGCAATCTTCCACCAAAGAATAAACTTTCAAAAGATGAGGAAGAAAAATTAAAAATAACAAACACTTAAATAGAAATACAATTGCATTTTATAAAATGTCATAAAAGGCCAAGTTATGGTTTTAAAGAACATTTTTAGGAGTTGCGTTCTATTTTGTTTTTTGTTTTGAGACAATAAACCCTATGTTTTGTTATTTTTAAAAATGGATAGTGGGGCAGCGCCTGTGGCTCAAAGGAGTAGGGCGCCAGCCCCATATATACTGAAGGTGGTGAGTTCAAACCTGGCCCTGGCCAAAAACTGCAAAAAAAAAAAAAAAAAAAAAATAGATAGTGAAGGTAATTGGGATAAACCCTGGGGAAGAAATCCTAGCAGCCCTGGTCATAGATCAGAGAAATCCAAGCTCTGCCAGGCTCCAACCTCCCAGGCAAACTCTCTTCTAAGTCAGGATAGAGGCCTTATACACAAAAAGAAGAATTAGAGGAAAAAAACCCACAAACATTTGTCCCTGCCGTGGACTGAAGATTGCTACCAAGGTCAGATGCAGCCTTGGGCCTGGCATAGTCTCTGCTTGCTGCCAGCTGTCCCCACCACCAGTGTGAAGCTGCTGGGAGCCCCACACACCTGCCCTGAATTATGGACCTCAGAGAATGACACTCACACTCCCCTTCTTTCCAGCCTCCAAGTCTGAGTTCAGGCCCCTTAGGCTGTCTTCAGGTCCACAGCTATGGCCTCAGGTTATCAGGAAACACTCAGCCAGCAAGAAGATAAGCACAGGATTGTACTACACGGGCACTAGCACACGCCCAGCACTGCTCTAAGAGCTTCACCTGCATCTCCTCATTCCAAGCAGCCAGTAACTTGGGCCTACTTAAGACTCCTGTTTTATTGAAGAACCAGAAGCCTAAAATGTCAAGGAATTTGCCCAGGACCACACAGCTAGTGTGTGGCAGAACTGGGGTTTAACCTGGGCAAGGTGCTCTGGGTCCTCGCCCTTAAGCCCTTAACCTCTGTGATGCCAGGGCCAGAGCGCAGTGACAGTGGGAGGAGCCTTAGTTACAGCCCTTACATAACCCAGCTGAATCTCAGCACTCAAGGTGCTGTGTTGCTGGAGACTCTCAGTCGGCCCTGATGGAGAGGAGGCAAGAGGTGAGCAGTGCAGGGCTGAGGAACGCAGGGCTCGGATTTGGGGAGAGCCCACGCTTCTCCCCCATGCTCCTGGCAGCCCAGACCATGCCCTTCTGTGTGAAATGGGGAAGGAGATCCCCTTGTACTCTCATCCAAGAGTTTCCGTGAGGGTGAAATGGAAGGATGAATGGGAAAGTAAGCTGTGAAGTATAAAATCTATCCTATTTTGCTACTCAAAGGATGGTCCATGGCCCAGCAGCACGGGCCTCCTCTGGGAGTTATTAGACATGCAGGATCGTGGCCCAGCCCAACAATTCACTGACTCAGGAGCTGCATTTTACACAGTCTGTCTGGATTTGGTGTGAGGAAAAGATTGACAGAGTCCAGCGAGGACAGTGATCACAGAGGGAGGAGAGGCTCCTGAGTCAGAGGGCCCAGGAGGGACGCGCCCACGTCACAGGCTGCTGGGGACACACAGGCAGACACAGCTTGGTTCTGCCATGACCCTCGACCTATTAGCACGGTGTCTGCTCTGCCACTTAGGTCCTGGCCTGGGGAATGAGGCTCCCAGCCTGGCCAGATTGTGATGAGCATCAAATCTGATGACACGGATGAAAATGATGTGCAAAGCCCTTTGCAGCCGCCAGGGAGATGACTGCCTGCCCGCGGAGGGCTCTGAGCCAGGCCTGCCAAAGGATGCAGGAGAAGGAAGCTGGGCTCAGGGCATGGGTAGGGACGGGGACAGTCTACCCTTCCCAATGTGCCTGCTGCACACATGACCCCAGGAACCCACAGAGGCCCCGAGCCAAACAGCTTGCTCAACTTACCCTTTTTCAAATACACAGCCAGAGAAGCTTGACCAGGGCTCCTTACTTTCACCTGGCATCCGAGACTTCCAAAGCTGGTGGCCTTTGAGTTCCCCAGGGCACCTTGTTCCTGGTGACGGAGACATGCTGCATTATCATCCTGTGATGTTTAATAATTCAACTCAACAAACGCTTTACCAGACTCTGAGCATGGCTGGGCCCTAGGGCTGCGCAGGTAAGATAAGGTTCCCGCTCTGTGCTTTCTCCTCATCTGCAGAGCACACAGACATGTGAGCAGTAGAGACTGGCAGACACAGACCCAGAATCTCATGGGTGTTTTCAAAACTAGGTGCAGTGGTTTATGGACTGCTGGTGATGAGGGACGGGTGACCAGAAAGACAGGAGCAAGCTCACAGAAGACCTTGTCAGCAGGTCGTTTCTCCCTGACAAGCGTCTGGATAGACGTTCTTTGAGATGCAGGGTCAGACTTTCAGAAACATTGCCATTCCCGGCTAACCCAGATCTTTGTGGCTGATTTTTGACAGTCATGTGGTGCAGGTGGGGTGAGACAAACTTGCCTACTTCAATTTCTATTTTGTACCCAGAATTTTGCCCTCCCCCTCATGGCTGCCAAACTTTGAGTTTGCTGTGGGAATTTTGGAGGGCCCGGACGAAAGCAAAAGCTGTTTGAAGGCAATGGCTCTTCTTGCTTTGTGGAAAGCCTGAGCTCACTGAAGGGATGGTGGCCTGGGAGGGAAGGGAGAGCCCTGGAGAGAACCAAGGCAAGAGAGATTCTGAGGCCCTGAAAAGGACTCAAGCTGGGGTCCAGAGTAGCAGAAGTCCCTGCCCCTTCTGTGGCCATGCCCTGGTGGCACAGAGGGCAGCAAGACATCAGATGGCTGGGCCTGCGGAGGCTAAGCCCCATGTGATGGGGCTCCCTCCTAAGCAGAGAATCTTCTCAGCATGCCAAGCACAGCCCAGAAGCAGAGGAACCAAGGAGGCTGAAGGCGCTCCTGAGACTATGGGCTGTGACCGAGGCCCCATCCCCTTGCTTCAGGGCCAAGAAGCCAGGGCTCTGGAGTGGAGGCTTACTAAGGATTGTGATAGAATTTCCTGCTGACTTCATGGGGCTGGGGGATGACAATAATATTAATAGCAATGGTCACTGAGCATTTCCTCTGCAGCAGAAGCTGTCCTGTGAGCTCTGCTGCACAGGGCCCTACTCAGTCCTCACAACAATCTGTGTGTGGTGGGGACTATAATCACCCCTGCATTATACGGGGAATCTGAGGAACCAAGGGGCTGATAGCAAAAGTAAGTGGTACAGCTGGGATTTGAGCCCCAAACCCCCCTCCTTCTTCTCTCAAGAGCCCTGACATGTAGGGGCCTGTCCTGCACACCCTTTCCAGAATGCTCCTTGTGAACACTCTTTCCCATGTGAGTATGTGGACAGAGGGGCATGCAGTGCCCCCGCGATGGTACTGGTGATGTTGCAAAGTGGCTACAGATCTACATGCCCTCAACTGTCAGGACGCGACGTGAATTACATACATCCGTAAAATGGATTGATATGCTCCAGCAAAAAGAATAAAGTTAATTTTTAAAGTATGCAGAAAAATAAACCGAAAAATCAAAGTAGAAAAGAGTACATATTATAAAATGGCAGCATGTAAATAGGCCCACAATGCACTTATAAATACATAGAGCTTTTCTGAAAGAATCCATAATAAACCAGAGAGTAAAATGGAGATTTGAGAGTGTTTACAAGGTTGGAAAGTAGGAGACAAGAGACTTCTACTTTTCACTGGATGCTTTTTTATTCTAATTTGATGGTATCACATAACATTGCCAATATTCTACCAGCTCTCACTTAGAGAGAAAGAGCTGGTAGAATATTTCTTTTTAAACCATAATCATATTTTTTCTACAATAGAAAGGAAATCTGGGGTCTCGGACACCAAAGGGCAGATGATCTTTAGGGCTCTGAACAAAGCCCCCCTCGTGTCTGGTGCCTGAATTGCTTGACGAGGTAAGCGCTGGGACATAGGAAGGGGGTGCTCAGCCTCAACAGTCTTTTCTGGCTGATTAATCAGGTGACTGTTCCTTATGTCAGCTGTGCCCTGGGTCTGTCTTTTGCCTGTTCCAACTTCAATTCCCCAAAGTCCCATTACTTTGAAGAAATGGAATCAACAGGGAATATTCACTTCACCCCTCCGGTCACCTTGGTGGTAATTTCATCAGAGCATGTCTAAACCAGAATGGACAAGAGGCAGAACTGCCAGGAAGCTCTTTCACCTCACCTGACCAGAAGTCGTGCAGACAATGTTGTCATTTGTCCATGTGTAGAAGTCACATGAGAACTCTGAGCCCACCATGGACGTAGTGAGGAAGCTGCAGGCATCATCCGCTGCACAATCTGCAAGCACCGTGGGACAGTCACCGACCTGACTCTCAGGTGGTGTTGGGGACAGAACAGGCACATACCCCAACTCCTGCCCCACATAGCCAAATAAACACACACACAGACATATACATTCAAATACACAGATCTCTGACAGACACACAGAACACACAAAATGCCTACACTCAACACACACACTGTGTATGAGCACACACAAACACACACATAGGAGGCATTGACTGAGCACATACCCTGCACCACATGCTGTGTTAGGCACTTCTGTGTACTGAATCATTGATCCCCATCTCATAGACAAGGAAACTGAGGCACAGCTTAGTCTACTCACTCACCCAGAGTTAGAAATGCCACCTGCCATGGAATGCCAGTGTCTCATGTATCTGATAGGAAACCATCTTGCTGGACTTCCCTGACGAGGCTGTCTTTCTCAAACTGTTACCCATTTCCACTCAGCATATTTTTCATACTGAGTTTGGCCCAGTTGGTGAAACCATCTCCTGATACTAACAAATGCACCCATTTCCCCGCTTGCCTCAACTCCCAGGATTCTGCAGCCTCCCTTCCTTTCCGCCTCACCAGTTTGCCCTTGTACCTTAAGCTGTGTCAATAGATAGCGTATGTGTGTACACCTGTGTGTGTGATGCTCCCTATCAAGACAAAGAACTGCCATCACCATATGCCAAGTGTGCTGGCTTGGTGCTGGTTCCCGCCTTGGTTCTATTCTTCCCATTCCTGGAAATATCTTTCATTCTGCAAACACTTTTTTTTCAGCTTCTACATCATGCCTTGAATTGTGTGTATGATACAAACAGTAATGTAAGTTCATCATAACTAGAACAGAGGTCCAAATTCATAGAGTGTTAATCACTTAATAACTAAGCCACATGTGGTTACTGAGAGACACATAATGCAATGGTTAAGGCTGTAGGCTTTGACATCTGTAGTCTGGGTTTGAATTAAGTTCTGACATTTGCTAGGTCTCTGTCACTGAATAAGTCACTTATATTCTTTTTTTTTTTTTCAGTTTTTGACCCAGCCAGGTTTGAACTCACCACCTCCAGTATATGGAGCCAGCGCCCTACTCCTGTGAGCCATAGGCGCCACCCTCACTTAAATTCTTAAAGCCTTATTTTTCTCATCTGTAACTTAGGATAACAGTGGCTACTTTATGGGTGGTTTTAGGGTTATGAAATAGTCCATGTGAAAATACATCCTCAATAAATAGTGACTGTTATTACCACCTCTCAGGCCTCACTGCTGAGAAAGGAATATCTATATCCTGACCTGAACAAACAGCTCTGTGCCAACCTAATTTTGTTCATTTCTGCTCCATAGCATTTAACATAGATCTTGGCATATAGTAGAATATACTATACTCTGCCGTGTAATTATAAACTGAATATTCACTTTGGAAATCAATCGATTTATAGTGTTTTGACAAAGTATGTTTGTTTCATTCTTGTTTAATGGGTTGATTTGATTTGTACCGATTATGTCAACAGAGCTTATTTCTGTAGCATGCTGCATGTGCCCATCTGCCCACTGCCCCTTACCAGCCAAGCACTGCATCAGTGGGAATTCAGAGCCAGGGACTTGGGACCTAACAGCCACAGAAGTGTTGGCATCGAAGATCACCTTTGACTCTGGAGCTTCCTCGAATTTTTGCATCACTGAAAATAAAGCATATTTGTGAAATATGACTCTGAAGGGTATAGGGCATCTGCAGAGAAGCCACAAAAGGGTGGTAGGTCTAGAGCAACTTCCCCTTTACAGGCCCCCTGCCCTGTCACACAAATGTGCCAGGGTGAATAATTCCTTTTCAAGGTAGCTCCAGCCTGCTGACTGATATCTAATCCTGAGAGCTGTAATTTACCAGGTCTCCCTTCCTCTACCTCGTTGTCAGGAGGCAAGGGGAACATTTAATCTGATGTTAGTCCTTACCATTCATTTCTTCTTATTGGTACGAATTTTCTATCTAAACTTATAGTTTCCTGTCCATATCTTTTAGTGCTAATTATATCACTATTTCATCGAAAAATTTCTTTCCATAAAACAACTTGAAATCTTTCAGAAATGAGGTTAGTTGTTTTTTTTTAAGTACATGTAAGACATGCATATTGTCCTTGAAGGTAGTAGTTGTTTAAGTGATACACGAGCATCTGTTTTTCTAGCCACAATCCATACAGCTCCACTTGATAGGAAAAGCATAGCCACATGCTTATGAAGTTAAACAAGGAAGAAACATAATTTCTCAAGGCTGTAAGACCTGAAACTCATTCTTCACCAAGAAAAAAAAAAGGCATGGAAGGGAACTCTCAAGAAATAAGATTTATCTTTAAGCCGCAAATTTATCTTCAAGCCTAAGAGTGTCAATATTTTGCACATAACTACCAAAAAGCAAGACTTATTTACGAGACCCAAAGCACATGAATATTAATTCTTTGCTAACATAATTATAAACATAAGCACTCCTGATCTTGCACATTCATTGCTTTATAAAACAGACTCATGTCTAGATTGGTTTTCATCAAATCAACAAATTCAAGGCTATCCAAATCAATATCCTCAGCTTCCAAAATAAGTACAGAAAAAATGACAGGGTTGGAAGGTGAAATGACATGTATTAAGCCGTCATAATTTTTGATATAGTCAGGAATTCTAATTTCACAAAGTAATCCTTCCACATTGACCATTAAAGTTGCCAAGTTCATGTGCTCAGCCCACATTCAGCCCTTCTTCTTTCACCTTCTTCTCTTTTTTTACTTTTGCGATCCTTGGTCTCTTGTTTGTAGAGACCAGCAGCTCCATCCATCAAATGCCACACTGTGCTCATCAAGTGTCCCTGAGTCTTGGGTTAGAACAGACCAGATGCTCAAAACATTCTAGGAGACTAAATAAAATTGAAAAGTTCTTTCAGTTTCTAATTAAATTCTACCAAAAAACGCAGTAAGTTTAGCCCTTCAGTTAGAGAATCTGCTGGTTTTCAGGAACAGAACTTCTTGGTAGTGGAGATTGTCACACTGAGCATTCTATGAAGACATTCATGGCCAAACAGAACAGAAACAATCCATGAACCAATTTGCCAGCAGAAGATTAAGTCAGTTTGTAGAATTATATGTTCTATTGATATAATTTCCCATTTGTCAAATTTCTACTTAGCAAATACTTACAAATGTCTTGGGAAAGCATAAAAGGTTAACATTAGAGCACAATATATATTTGATCATGATTCTTACCTAGTATATCATGGCTATTTATGTGTCTGTCTTTTTCCAGGGAAAAGACAATGTACTGGTTATATTCAAACCCTCACTAGCTAGAATAGTGATGGAGATACTAGTTTCCTTTATATTGGATGGATGGACAGATGAACTAATGAATGACAACATCTTTATAACACTTAGAAACCAGCACAAAACATTTTGATAGCATAATTTCATTGGCAGTTACACAACCATTTAGACATTTGATGTGGTATATAAAATCTTCAGCATGGGTCGACAAAGGAGAAAATTAGAAAATTTCTTATATTAAATTATATTAATTATATATAATTAACATTATATAATTATATGTTAATTATATAATTATATAACATATAATTATTAATTATATTTTATATTAAATGGATCTAATATTAAAGGGAAGATGAACTTGAAATATTTCCAGTGGCCAAGTCTGAGTAAGTCTGAGTAAACAAAGGCCGTATGGAGCAGATGACAGGGAGTACCGCAGAGCTGCACCGGGAGGGATTTCACATACAGAGGCAGCCTGAAGTTAGGGAAGGGCACTGACTCTGGAGTCAGCCCTTGGCTCAAGGCCTGAGACTGCCACACCTCATCAGCTGGGTGTCCTTGGACATATCTCAACCTCTGAGAGTCTGGGTTTCCTGGTTGTAAGGACTGAACAATATCACATGGTAACAACTCAGTTAATGCCAGGTCCCTTTGGCCTTTGCAGACATCCTGCTTACGTGTCCTGTCAGGGCTTCTAAAATTGGCCACAGGAATTCAGGTGATAGGAGAATCTCCCTCCCTGAAGACCTTTCAGAAATAGTTTTGGAGAAGCCCAACTAACTGGAGCAATTCATTCGTTCTGTCAATGCGTACCTACCACTCTGGAATAGACCAGAAATAAGAGACAGTTTTAGCCCCAAGGGAGTCTATGGTCTAATGAGGCGAGCCTAGAGAAGAGGCTGGGATATCACAATGTCATCTCAGTGCAGAACCATGAGGAATTGTAAGGAGCATTGCATAAGCAGAATTGTCTTTTTAAATAATTGTGCTAGAAGCATCATGGACAGATTGTTGGAATGGAGCAGAGAGATGAGTCAGGAGGGTGTATCAGTTCCATGTGGGTGACAACAGTGGCTTGGACAAAGGAGGTGGCAATGGAGAGGTATATAGCTAACCTCTAAGTCCTTTGCTTTTTCTGAAGCATAAAAGCCTCAAAAAGGAAGCTGCAATTCCACTGCCAAAGAGAAAGTTTTTTGTCAAAGGCAATTCTGCCAAGAGACATGTTGATATCCCAGTGAGGGCCCAGATGATGAACATGGATCTAGAAAGGGAAAGAAGCTCAGAGCTTTGCATAAGAAGCCAAAGATGCTGAGGGTCTACCTGGAGGCCAGTGCTAGGTCAGCACTGCAGGGAGGCAGCATCAAAGGTGTCACAGCCCACCTGTGGTTCTGCTGCCGCTAATTAAACAGTCCTATCTGATCTGAACACTGGGCAGAACGAGGATAAACCACTCTACAAACTGCACAGGACCATCCTCTGGGCTAAGCCATGGACAGGAGCACAAAGAGGGCTTGTGCCCTTGGGCAGTAACCCCAGAACGGCCAGTAATCACCAGGGCCGCTGGGCAAGTTGCTCCCCTTCTGTGGGCACCGTCTCCCTCGTTTGTCAGGATCCACCTAATGCATCTCCCAAAGCACTTTTCAGCTTCAACTCCCCTGATTGATATTCCTGCCCCAGAAAAGGTATATTGGAGAAAAATAATAAACTTTGTCTGGCCTTGCCGTTTAGCCATGGGGACACACACAGACATACATCCTTGGGGTGTGTTAGCTCCTCACTAGAGAAGGGGAACAATTGCTCTGAGCGTCAGAAAATGAAAATTTCTCCCCTGGATTTTCTCCAACATTTTGTCATTAGCTGTACCAACCTTCCTGGAGGACAGGCAGACTGTGTGTGTGTGTGTGTTTTGAGTTAGCAAATAAATCTAGATAAAAGCACAGATCCGTGTAATAGAAAACACAAGGATTTAAGAATCAAACACACAGCAGACACACAGGTATATTATATCCTAACTATGGGATGAAGATAAGAACTTAAACATTCTTTGCCTCAGTTTCCTCTTCTAAAATATGGGCAATAATAATAACTAACTTTTCAGACTCCCATAAACTTTAAATGTGATAAATATATAAAAGTCTGATACACAGTAACCGCACGTGCATCAGCCCCTCTCCTTACACTGAAATATCAAGAGACTGTAGCAGGCAGGGCTGGCTCTGGCTTGCTTGTGTGCAAAGGTAAACCCTGGACCTCCAACAGAGGAAGGTGAGTCTGTGGAAAGGTGAGAGTGAGAGGACTCAGCATGTTAAGGGAACTTGCAGATTGTTCCAGCCTCATTCAGCAGAGGAGGGAACAGGGCAACTGCTACAGCCAAGACTTCTTATTCTGAAATATTTATACTTTGGTGAGCATGCCACTGCCAGTGCATCCTGGAAGCCCCTTGCCCCAGGGAAGGCACTAATATCCCCATCTCACAGATGGGGAAACTGCTGAGGCCATAGGAATCATCCAGTGAAGGGCATCCTTGGGATTGGACTATTCCTAATTCCATATTCTTTTCCTCCTCTCTGCAGGTGCCGTCATATTCACAGGTAGGACTTCGATGCTCACCTGGGACTTTCCTACCCCCTATGTCACTGAGGAACTGTGCACAGAGAGTATTCAGTGAGTATTTTAGACATCGTAGGTTGATGTTGACCTTCACAGAGTCTCAGCAGATAGACAGGAAGCCATGAAGGGTTTGAGGATCAGAGAGGTTGAGCAACTTGCCCTGGGTTACCCAGTGAGTAAGTTGTGGAGCAAGGATTGGCACTTAGCTTTTCTACAACATTCTTCTGAGGGAAAATGCTGGCCTGGGCTACTGAGGCAAACTGCCTGCAAGAATGGAAGCCTCAGCAGTTTGCTTTTCATAAAAATTCATCTCTTGAGCATACTAAACTGTTATATTTAGGGGTGAGGTTCCTGATGTCTAAAACCACATGCCAATTATTTCTAAAAGAGAGAATAAAATATTAACAATTATTGGATCTAAGTAATGGGTATTTACTCCTACTATTCTTTATGTAGATTAAAACTTTTCTACATAAAAAGTTGAAGATGAATTTATCTCATGCATCTCTCCCCCTCTAGAAAGCCCTGAGACCACCTTCCTCTCCTCAGTGACTGAGCCCAGCACATACTCAGACACTGAGAGTCGTTGAGTGGCGCCTCTGTTTCTGACCACGGCAGCCTCTGCCCCTCGCTGTCCACGCAGAAGGCCTTCCCACTGCCCCCGTCCCACTGGCTGGCTCGGTACTGGCCATCCTGGTCACATTGCAGGCCCACTTCATTCCTCTGACAGTCGGTGACACCTGGAGCCAAAAGAAGGACACAGAAGTCAACAGTGGGCCTCTGGGCTCCCTCCGCTCCTTCCTTCCAGGCTCTGGGTCATTCACCAGATGTCCAGGCAACTTGTCTTAGCCCAAAATTCCAGGATAAAACTCTTCGGAGTCCCCACCCTGAGTAAAGACCCACACCTAGGCTCCCTGGTGGATCAGTAAGTGCCCTGTGATCCGCCCCTCCCCCATCCTAACACCTCTGCACACCCACACAGCAGAAGTTTACTGTTTATGTTAAACCTTGTGCTTCTGCTTTGCTGTGGACTGAATGTTTGTATCCCCACCAAAATGCACAAGTGAAATCCCTAATCTTCAGTGTGGTGGTGTTTGGAGACGGGGCCTTTGGGAGGTAATTAGGTTTAGACAAGATTGTGAGGGTGAAGCCCCCGTAATGAGATTAATGACTTTATAAAAAGAGAAAGAGGGGAGACATTTCTCTCTCACTTTCTGTGCATGAACCACACAAAGGCCACATGAAGATGCGACCAGGAAGGGAGCCTTCACCAAGAAATGGGTGGTGGTCCCTGACTCCAGACTTCCAGCCTCCAGACCGTGAGAAATAAACGAGTGCTGTTTAAGCCACCAAGTCTGTGGTAATTTGTAACGGCAGCCCGAACTAAGTGAACTAAGACACACTTGTGCGAGATGCACTGTGTGTAAGACATCACTGGTGCCATCTGGGAGACGAGGGAGCTGACATTGAGAGAAAGAAGGTGACTTGGCCTAGGTCCCAGTGCCAGGAAGAGGTGACAGCAGGATGGAACCTGGTTTGGCGGGTCCAAGCCTTAGCTTCTGTCCTCACTTCTCTGCCTTTCTTCCCATATCCCCTCCATAAACTCGGTCACACCACATCAACCCTCCTTTAGCAATGTGGGCCTCTCGCATTAGTACAGCACTTTACACCACCTCCAAGCACAAGGGCTGGCGTCAGGCGTACACTGAGGGAGTCCAGAAACTCTCAGAAGAGTTTCTTCTCCCAGCTTCCAGAATCCCTCTGACCTTTACTTTCTTGGAGTTACAATCCCATTACCCTGCTCTCCTGACCAAGGAAACTGCCTTCATCAAAGAAAGTGATTTGATATCTTTTGAGCACTTGTTTTAAAAATTCCGAAAATTATTCAGATTTTAAGCAATAATTCTTTGTCTCATATTGACACAATTTCAGACTAACATAAAAAGATGTAGAACAGGACCAGCGATGGGTCCTTGCTAGGAAAACCCCAACCCTCCCCAGGTGACTGTGAAGTAAGTAGGCCGAGTGAAATCACGTGATATACGGGAAGGCCAAGCGGTCCTGACATCCTGACAAATGTCTAGGGCCAGAATGGGAATATTAGTTACGCAGAGAAATAGCTATCTGTGGAAAATATCTTCCATTTCTCAATCTGATACGGTTGACTTATAAAAATCGGAAGTTTCAGAATCAGACGAAACCAAGATCAAAGGCCAGTTAAGTCATTTGTTAACTGAGCAACTTCAGCTAAGTTTCTTTTCTTAGAGCCTTAACCTTCTTATCTGTGAAGTTGGGCTAATAATATTTACCTTGCAGGGGTGTTAGGAGACTTGAATGAGACAACACAGGCAAAATGCCTGGTGCAGAGCCCGGTGGCCCCCGTGGAGGCCCCTCTGATTACAGTATGTGTGCGCAGCAGCTCTCACGGTGGGCAGTGTGGACCCAGCTACCACCAGAGAGACACTTGACAGTGGTGCGATACATGTTTTGTTGTCACAACTTGGAGATGTGGGTGCTACCAGCATCTCATAGCTATTGATGCTACCAAACACCCTGCCATGTGGGGACAGGGCCCCCCCCCCAGCAAAGGATTTTCTGTTCCAAAATGTCAATAGTTCTGAGATTAGGGTAGTTGTTTGCATCCTCACATTAAACTGAAATTTTAAAAAAGAAAAGAAACCCAGTTTCATCTCATTACAGTTTTTCTTCAGAGTAGGATCCTGTAGGACTTACAGTGAGTCTGGCTGAAAGCTCCCTCGGAAATGGTCATTCTGCCCTCAGGACACAGCACACAGGCCGAGCTACCTGCCTCTTCTTGGTAGGATCCCACGGGACAGGGAATGCATCGCTCATCTTGAGAGTAGCTTCCTTCTGGACACTTAACTGGAAAGCAGAAACAGAAACGTGATGCGTGCTTTACAGTTACCATCTCTGGACATGCAGGTACGTGAAATCCTAAAATCGGTTCAAAAGCCCATTCATTTGACAAACGTCCATTGAGAACCTACTGTGTGTCAGGCCCTGAGAGCCAGGGGCACCGCTGTGAAGAGGGCAGGTGAGCCTCCTGCTCTGCCAGAGGAGAGTCAGACAAGGATTTCTGACATGGAGGATTTCAAAACGAAGTGGGAGGGGGCCGTGTTGTGAGGGACGGCCCCTCTGAGAGAGAATGATGAGGATGGGCCCAGGCAAAGATCTGGGAAAAGAGAATTCCAAGCAAAGGGAACAGCAAGTCCATAAACCCAGAGGCAGGAGTGAGTTTGGATTAGTCAAGGAAGGGAAGGAAAGAGCCAAACAAAGCTGGCGACTGAGTTGGAGCTTGGTCTGCAGAGGAAGAAGGGTGTGAGAGGAAGTGAGAGCCTGTCCCTATGTTGCCATACTAAGGGCACGGTGGAGCTGAGGGTGGGGAGGTGCAAACTTGGGATCTGGCAGACTGGATGGAGTCCCACTGACCACTGCACCTCTATCATTGTGGACTTCACTGAGGCTCCACCTTGTCCCCTACAAAGTGGGCGTTAATGTTAATACCTCACTGTAACATAGTAAAATGTACATAAAATATATAGCATGATGCCAAAAGCACATATGTGCTTAACAAATGATACTTTTACTCTTGAGGAAGCCCTTCTTTGTAGCCAGCCTTAACACTTACACTGTCCAAATAGGATGCTCTCTCTATGGGATAATCCCCACAATTCAGTGCTGTCTCACGTGCCTGCTGTGGCCCCACTGCCTATCGGTCAGTCACTAATTCTGTTGCACAAACCCAGAATTAGGGAAAGCAGGGGAGGTTCTCAGTACCAGGGATGTAGGGCTTTTGATTGACTCAGAAATGCCAAGTGTGGCGTGAGCATCTACCTCCTTAAATTTTGTACCTTGGTGCCTCCTTGTACTCCAAAGTACAAGTACCTTGTACTTACTGGGATTATCCTATGAGTCTGCTTTCTGCTATCTGTTCCTCTGCCATCTCCAAATTCCTCCTAATTGTCCTCCTCTGGGATAGGGCTGGGAAGCCAGAAAGCCAAGTGGAGCTAGAGTTCTCAGAAGAGTTCTGAGAGTTCTAAGTTAGAGTGCAAGGAGCTGCATTCTGAGGAAAGTGCATGAACTTGGCTACTCATCAAGACAGGCCAGAGAATGGGCTAGTGACAGGTAGGAGATTCTTTGAGCTTTCTTGCTTGGTTCAGTGTTATGTTTCAGGAGCTTGCCAAATAACTACCAGACCAAGTGAGTTTTTACCCAGTGAAATTTGGGAACTAAAATTTTGCCTTTTCTTGGGAACATATTCTGTGCCTGTCACTGCTGTGTTGTTTTACTTACACATCCTTCCCAAGAGTTAGCCTTCTATCCCCCATTTCACAGATGGGAAAGCTGAGCCTCAGGACATCTATGCATAACTTTCTAGCATGTTCTTCAGCAAAGGCACCAGGGAAGTAAAATTACAGAATATGATAAGTACAGTGCCTTACGTACTAACATACAACCCTAGGAGAAAGATGTCATCACCATTCTCGACTGGAGAGAATTAAGACTCAAGGTCAAGGTTGACCAGGAAGAGAGGCTATCGAGATGGGATTTAAACCCCATCCATTCACCTCCAAACCAAAGTTTTTGGTCCATCCACCAATCCAAGCACCTCTCTCTGGCAGAGAGGTCAGCACAGACAAGTGGGCTGTGCTGAGATGGAGCAGTGTTGATTTAGCACCAGCTGCCTCTGGTCGGTGTGTGTGCTCGGTATTTCTGAGTAAATGAGAAACACGAGCCACGTCTTGGAAACTCAACAGTGTGTTTTTCGGTCTACCCTGAGCAATTAATATCCTCCCTCAGAAAGTGGAGTTTCGTTACTTCTATGAGTCAAATGTTGATGATTATCTCTGGCACGTCAACCCCAGAACTGTGACTATGTTTTTTTCTTTTTCTTTCTTTTTTTTTTTTTAATATGTGGCCTCTAAATTCATCACTAAAGGAAAGCAAAATCTTTGGGGCCAGCTGGAGTTCCCCTGGCTCCACAGCCTGAGCTGCAGATGAAGGAGCCCAGAGAAGAGAGTGGGAATGATTAATGCTAACTATTAATAACTTCTGCTGTGACCCAAATCCTTCAAGGCTCCTGTCAGTGCTCAAGGAGCTTGCATGTTGTTCCCCAACCCCATCCTTCCCTCTGTCTCTGACATCAAGAGTCTTTTCCACCCAAGACAACACTTCAGAAAGTCAGAACCACATAGCAGCTGTGGTCATCCTTCCTCAACAAGGGCTCCTCAACAAGGACTCCTCTCCAAGACCACCGGGTCCTCGCCACAACCAGGTGCTTATCCTCAATCAAATTTCTCCTTTGAAATCCTTGGAAAACCCCTTTGGCCTCAGTTCCCTCCCTTATAAAATAAGACAATTCAGCCTATTTGAGTTTTGGATATCATGAAATTCAGGGCCACACTACCCCTCCTGCCAACCCTTCCCCACAGGCCCGCTGCAATGACTGCCATACTTTGCTCCTTTGAAAGGGGTCAAGCCCACACCTGGCCCTGTCACTCTCACCTTAAAATTCCCCCATGGGACCCCATCTCCAGTCCAAGTCCCACACTGTGCCAGGAGGAATCTCCTGGCCTGTCCCTGCCTGCCTATCTAGCCCCACCTCCTGCTACATTCCCCACACTCATCATTCCTGAGCTACAGAATCATGAGTACTGCCCCCATAAAGCCATAGACCTTCTGTTCCCATCTCCATTTCTAGAATGTTCTTCACATGTTAGCCCCCCAGCAAGATGTGGCTACACATATGTGCCAAATGCACACCACCACCTCCTGTCTCATCCTTTCAGAGCAGTAATTCCTGCTCCCCAGCAAGCCTGTCCTGGCTGCCTTCAGAGCCTCGGCCTCACCATCTGCCTCTGCACTTGACACTCCTGTGTCAAGTCATAGACCTCTCCCAGCTACACACTGAGTTCCTTTAAAGTGGGGCTGCCTAGAGGACCAACAAGGTGTTTTGTACATAATTACATTTTGAAAGCTTGGATGGGTGGGCAGATGGAGGGATGGCAGGAAAGAAGGAAAAGGGAGGGAGGGAGGGAGGGAAATAAGACATATATGACTTCAAAAAAATAATCCAAAGGGAACTAGCTCTATTGTAAGAATTTATAGTGAAGCAGCAAAAGTTCATGTTATCCAGAATAGAAAATGGAAAATTCAGACAATTTCTCTGGGATCCTCCTTAGTAAACTAATCTGCTATGAAGACAGCTGTAGGTAATTTCTAGGGGAAGCCATGCCACTGGGCTTAAGGCGAGAGGGTCAACAAAACTGACCCCATCAGAGCTGCAAACAAGGCCTGTGTCCCAGGCAGCAACTAGTTCCTGGGGCCCAGGTTGCTGTGCCTTGGTGAGTCATGGTGGGTGGACCTTCCAACAAGACCCTTGAGTCACTGTCCAAAATGTAAGGACCTCCCTGAGATGACACAGACAAACCCAGGTTCATCTCCACAGCTCAATTCTCTGCCTTAAAACAGCTGTGCCCCAGATGTGCTTTGGAAGGAAAAGAGCCAAGAGGGATGAATGCAAGAATCAGAGGGTTTTAGAACCCTGTGTTGATAGAGAGCTGTGCTGAGAAGGGAGCTGCGATGCAGAAGGCAGAACAGAGGGCCTGGGGGCAGAGGGAGCTGGATTTAGATCTCAAGGCTACCAATTTGAACAACAAAACCATTTGTCAGAAGTTCACTATGTGCCAGTGCTGTGTTTTGCCTCAGTTATTTCATGCTGTCCAAGTCACAGCCCCACGAAATAGGTGTTATTATTCCTATTTTTCAGATCATGCCCATGAGGATGAGAAACTTTCCCAGGATCCCACAACGAGAAAGTTGTGGAGCCAGGACTCTCTGGCCCAGGTCTGCCATTTCAAAGGGCAGTTTCCTGACACTGTGCAGCTCTCTGTGCCCTGGCCTCCTCCCCTATGCCACAGAATTCGTAACTCCTGACTGTCTAGACACAGCAGGCCGTCACCAGTGAGGGCTGGTAAGGTATGACCTATCAGAAACTCACTAGTGACAAATATTATAATCGATACTGAGAATGGCCAAAGCTTTCAGGACAGTTCTTGTGACTTCTCTTCTGGACCTTTCCCACTGTCTGGTGAGGGGTTGGGGCTCAGTGGTGGGACTGACAGGTCTCTGCAAGTCAGTAAAAGCCCGCAGCAGTTGAAAATCAGAATGCAGATTCTACCTAGAGCCAGGACTGGCAAATGACAGCTGTAGCAACATGTCACTGTCTGTTTTGGTAAATAAAGTTTTATTGGAACAGCCACTTTTCTCCCATAGTGGCTGAGTTGAGTCATTGAGTCCAAGACTGCATGGTCTAAAAAGCCTAAAGTATTGGGTGGTGCCTGTGGCTCAAGGAGTAGGGCGCCAGCCCCATATACTGGAGGTGGCAGGTTCAAACCTAGCCCTGGCCAAAACCTGCAAAAAAAAAAAAAAAAAAAAAAAAAGCCTAAAGTATTTGCCTTCTGGATCTTTACAGAAGAAATGTGCCAACTCCTGCTTTAGAAAAAGTATGTTGGGAGGTGCCTGTGGCTCAAAAGGGTAGGGCACCAGC